AAGTTACCTATCTCTGAGCGCAGGTATGATCGTGAAAATGTCCCCCGGAAATGTACTCTTTGTTTGACTGGCAATTGAGGAGACGAATATCATTATGTACTTGTGTTTTCTTTTTTTGATAAAGAGAGAAGAGAGTTGGTCGGACAGTTCTATAGAGCAAATCCAAATATTTATAAGTTTCAAAAGTTAACGTCATCTCGAAAAGTAAAGGTCTTGTCAAATTTGTTGAAACTTTTAAAGAAAATCTTGAATAGTTTCTCTTGATTTGCTTTGTCCTCTATGTATGTACACAAATTCTGTTTTATTTATTTTGCTGTGCATTGGCTGCCGCCTGTCCTGATTTGTTAATGTTATTTTTTGTTGTCTGCCCCTTATACCCCGGGGAGGGGTCAAAAGGAATAAATGAAATGAAATGAAATGAAATGAATCATGCTGCTCCAGTGTGTTATTTTAGACTGCATGCTAGCATTGCAGAATCAGAACGGGCATGAAGGGGTGACATGTAACACAGCAGTGTCGGCCTCTAGTGTGACATATAACATATGTGCTGGCAGTGCTTTATAAAAAATAACAAGGCAATAACAATCATTTAGCATCTGTTACATGACAGCTCATCTCATCCTCTGCTCGGAGGGTAAGGAGCTCCCAGAACCTCATTGTTTTCCCTATATGTGGACGTTTTTTGGCTGCTCTTCTTCTTTCAGTTAGCCGCTAACTGCTATCAGCTACTGTGCACCCATAACACATCGTCGAAAACGTCACACCCATGACACCCATGATCCCATCCTGCCAGCTGTCCTTTTTATAAAGCTGTTACTTCCTCTGATGCCGCCTTGAAGCCGAAACAACTCCGTCTCCCATTCCATGACCCTACCTTGTGTACAGAACAGTGAGGCAGAACGACAGCATGAAATTCCTCAGACACATCCCCAGAAGAACACTGCACTGACTGATATTTTATTGTTTGTTTGTTTTTTTTTTCTTCTATCTATATGCGTGAGAAAATGTAAAAATTATCACTAAGTTCATTTTGATGACGCCAATGCTGACATTTTTCCACTACCCTTCTCCCGTCAAAAACAATTGTTTGTTTTTTCCCCTCAAGGAATTTAGCAGCTACAACTCTTTGGGACAGAGTCAGTTCTCTCAGTACTACGCTCTGCCTCCCAGCTACGTGCCTGCCGGGCTGCCCAGTAGCGATGACCACGGTGCCGCTGTGGGAGTGGCCGGTTATTCAGCTGTGAAGTCGGAGCAAGCCGCGTCAGCTGGACTCCCTCCCAGAGGTAACTTCAGTTCTTTGATTTACATTATTGTATTTTCTACAGCACTAATATGTGGCACATATAATGTTTGTACAAGTTTGAATCATAACGAGGGCTGGGTATCAGTACTCATTACCTTGTGATGTAGGCTATTGGTTTCAGCATCACTTTAATGGTACTGGTAACATTTTGTTTTTTTCCAATGATACCCAGAATAAATGTATTATTCAAGTACTAATTTCTGACTTCCTTGTATTAAGATGCGTCCCCACCAGAGAATCTCCCAGCAGGTGCAGCCCTTCCTACGAGCGTGTCTCTCCCCGCCGGAGCCAGAGATCAGGATGAGGTTGGTCGCAGGAACTCTGTTGGCAAAGCGAAAGGAAAGGGCAAGAGGTCTGATAGCTCCCCACCTACTGACAGTGACCTGGAGGTAACCAAGTCTGCAGTTTACCAATCTTTGCACACGTAAACCAAACATTAAGAGGCTGTTGCTCTGTCATTAGCTTAGCAGCATTTAAGAGTTTAAGCCAAACCCAACAAACAACATGTCACTTTAAACTGGACTCACCTGATCTAAGTTCTAAATATATGGAAAAGATTTATAGGATTCAGTTCTTATCTTACTTATTTTTGCAGAGTGTAACATTATTCTTACATGCTGTTTTTTTAGCGTATTTTTCTGTGGGATCTGGACGAGACCATCATTATATTCCACTCACTGCTCACAGGCTCCTATGCACAGAAGTTTGGCAAGGTTTGTTTCTGTTAATATGCTAAAACTTTGAGTATACAGCACAAAATGAAAAATATGTTTGTTGTATGAAAGATTTATTGTTGGTCTGTGTTGGGTTGTTGTTCAGGACCCAGCGTCAGTGCTGAACTTGGGTTTGCAGATGGAGGAGCTGATCTTTGAGCTGGCGGACACTCACCTTTTCTTCAATGACCTGGAGGTACAGTAAGATACATTCAGACTGGTGTAGCCATGACAGGAATGAAGTGCAGGTCCTTTAAAAGTCTTAATTATATTTGAAAAATATTGGGCTTAAGTAGTCTTAAACTTGAATTTGTGAGGTTATAATTGCCACGAACATTTTATTTTATTTAATTTAGTCATCTTTTAGTTTCTGTTTTTCAAACTGAGTTCAGCCCTTTTGTGTGGAAGTTACATTTCTAATGTTACAGACCTTTAAACCTAATACTATCACTTTAAACTTCCATTTACGTGTTGGCAAAATGTAGACTGAGCTGACTCACCACTGCTTTATACTTACATGCAATGCTTGACTAAGAAAAATATGATTTGTCCAAAAATCAGTTAAGTACATGATTATATGATTTGTAAGAACCCTATTTGTTTTCTTTAAGGAATGTGATCAAGTCCATGTTGAGGATGTTGCCTCTGATGACAATGGACAGGATCTGAGGTGTGTTACATGCTGTCCTGTACCTAACACACACGATTCAACCTCATCACACACTTCAACATCATGACAGAAAGCAGATTTTTTGCCATCGTCCAAACAAATCACAAGTGCTTCTTTCTATTTTAGTAACTACAACTTCTTGGCGGATGGCTTTAATGGTTCCAGTGCTGGAACGACATCAGGAACCACCACGGGGGTCCAGGGAGGGGTGGAGTGGATGCGGAAACTGGCCTTTCGCTACCGCCGGCTAAAAGAGATCTATAATAACTATAAAGGGAATGTTGGAGGTGAGTTTGCATCAATAACAACTCTGCCTTGTACAGCTGGAGTTTAAAATGGCAGGCGCATAAGAAAAATGATGTGGTGATGGCAAATGTAAAACACTTAAAACTAAAAAGAGTTCTAGTCAGTAGACAGTGTTCAAAGCTTGTGTCAATCAATTATTTATATTTATATGCCAAATATATGTCCAAAAAATCAGTATCAGAGTATACTACATCAAAATCCCTGTCTTCTCTCTTACTCTAAATGTTTGATGACTCATCTAGCACAGTCGATATTCGCCTTGTTGGCTGCCATCGGCCTATTGTCAAATAAGATATTCATGGATGTCTGTTGTTACGTCAATTTTACACTGGCTAAAAAGCAGGGCTCATTACTAACAGCCACAAACTTAAATTGATGAACATGTACAAGAAGAACGCAGTGACAGTTTGGAAGACGGGCTCTGTGATCTTACTGTTGTGTGATGAGACGGCAAGTAGCAGCCGGTGTCCGATCGTCCCAGGGGCAAAATAAAACGTGTTTGGAATGAACAGAGAACCTCCCCGGGACGAAAGGATGTAGTAAACTCACTGTTGTTGCGTTAGAGGATGCACTCGATGCATGAACAATGAATCCGTGTTATAATAAGCCAGAGGACAGATAAGTAACGTCAGCTGTTAGCAGCTGGTGGTCGAAACAAACAGCTCATGGAGTTTGCACTGACTTACATAATGATGTGTTCAAGTCCTATTCAGTAAAAATGAGAACAAGGTGTAGGTAAATCATAACATTCTCATGATGTGTTTAGTGTAATCTTGTAAACTGTAGGTTTTGGTGAGAAATTTGAATAAATACAGCTGGTTGAAGGAGAAATAAGTAGTTTTTTAAAGCTGTTTTCCATGTGAAAGATTATATTAAACATTGTTTCATGAGTTTGTATAATTGAATCTGTGTTCATTTAGAGGTAGTGTAATGAAGGGCTTAATTACAGTTATTTTTTATAGTGTTTCTCTGGCACAGGAGGGGGAATAAATAACAAAAAACAAAATGAACAACAATATAAAAACATCAGTGTCATTATCAGCCAAATTGTTATTAGGTATCAGTATCGGCCTAGAATTTCAAAGTTGGTGTATCCCTACTGTACTCAGGGACGTGTACAAAAGTTCATACGATCAAATGAGAGTTTAGTCATATAAAACTGCACTTAACTGTTTGAGGATTGTACTGGCTAACAAAGCAATATGGAGAAGGATGGGAATAGATGTGTGTTTGGGTATCAGAGGGCAAATTTTTTTTTTTTTTTTCCTTCATTTTCAAAACAGTGTGATGCGTTTGTTTTGATAAAGAAACCTAGGGGCACTCACAGCCATGTGAATTACAACATGTTTGACAACAGTGGAATTAGTTCCAAAGTCTAAAAGGCAAACGAAAGCAAACACACACATCTGACGTTCCACAATTTCCTCTCCCTGTGTAAAACAAACAAGGTAATGTTTCAGCCCAGTGGCCCAGATAAACGGGGAGATGTCTGTTTGTGTTAGGGATCTGTGTGTGTGTGTGTGTGTGTGTGTGTGTGTGTGTGTGTGTGTGTGTACGTGTACACCTTTTGTCTTTTTAATATCAGACTGTGGAAGTATGTTTTTGAAAGGCACCGTTAACCACAAAACATTTAAAAGGTGCATCACTTCAAACATTCGTAAAATGGGGGTGATGTTAGACTGACAGGTTATTCCTTATATGCTGATAGCGGTATTTAAATCCTGCAATATTGAGGTTGTATGTGCACGTTGTCTCTTTCAGGCCTGTTGAGTCCGATGAAAAGGGAGCTGCTTCTCCGGCTTCAGTCTGAGATTGAGAACGTTACAGACGCGTGGCTCACCACGGCCCTCAAGTCTCTGCTGCTCATCCAGTCCAGGTCTGAGCAGAGGTTATTATGTTTAAACATATTTCAGGTACTCTGATGCAAGATGAGTAGAGTGCGCTCTAATCATGTGAATTATTAGATTAAGGTGACTACTATATTTAAGATTATTATCAAAGTTAGTAACAGTTTTCTCTTAGTGACCCAAATGAGTGTGTTGACTTTTAAAAGGCAATATTTATTCAGAAAATGATGCAACACTAGATACATGATACATGATAAAGCTTCTGGTTTTTCTCTGTGAGCCCACGTTTATTCAAGTATATGGATTTGTGTGTGTGTGTGTGTGTGTGTGTGTGTGTGTGTGTGTGATATTCCACCAACAGGGGGAAGTGTATGAATGTGTTGGTCACCACCACTCAGCTAGTCCCTGCACTGGCCAAGGTGCTGCTCTACGGCCTGGGAGACGTGTTCCCCATCGAGAACATCTACAGTGCCACTAAAATAGGTACGTGTGAAATTGATGTCAGTACAATTAACTGATCTAAATTATTCTCTACAGTGACTGTGTAATGTCTAATTTTCCCTGTGGTTTCCTCTCATGCAGGGAAAGAGAGTTGCTTTGAGAGGATTGTCTCTCGCTTCGGGAAGAAAGTGACTTATGTGGTGATAGGTGATGGTCGAGATGAGGAGTTTGCAGCAAAACAGGTAAACATTTTAAGTCTTAATATTTCCTTACTTCTGCCTTCCTTTGTGTGTCTCAGACAAAGTTGCATGTTCTCAGAAATGTTGTTAAATACTGCACTGCAGGCAAATACAAGTGCAGGCACTGTGACTCTCCCTTTGTTTGTTTAAAAAGTGTCCACATCAGACGGAGCTTACTCGTTAGGATGTGAGCATACACGACTCAAAAGCTTATTAAATTGTAAAGTAAACACTAAAGCAGGTGTAAGGTGTACTATGCACTGTGGGATTGTCAGTTACTGTTTGTAAACATGCTCGCCAGCAAAAGTAAAAGTAAAAGCCAACCACAGATTCTCTCCCGTCTGGTGTTTCACCTCGCTATATTTGCATTTTGTGTCTCTTGGATGCCTACTGATCATGGTTTGGCACCTGGTTGGTACCTTTTTATTAAGTCCCGTCCTCACCTGAGCGCTGTGGGGGTACATGCCCACAAATGTCCTGGGCATTGAAGTAATTATAAAATACAGGCAGAGGGCAGAGTCTCTGCAACCGACACACACTTCCAGTAGGTCATAAATGATCCTGTGTAGTATATCTTTGAGGTAAAAAATGTCAAAATAGACAGACTGGAGCTGGCGCCTGACTCTGTTGATCAGTTACTAAAGCCACAACAAGCGATCCAAGTCTGGTGTGCTGCTTCTCTTTGGCTGTAAAACGACCACGTTGCCTGTTTTACCGGCCTGGTTCCAGACTTGTAAATTGCCACTTTCATCTCAGATTCATTTATTCAAATATTTCAAATGAAATGGAAATCCAGTGTGATTATCCAAGAAGCATAATGTATTCACTTGAGAAAACAAATCTGCTCTGTTTTTCTGAATTAATGAGATAATAATCTCCATAATTCCTTGTTTTCTTTATAATGAAGATTATTATCTCAATAATTCAGAAAAAAAAGAACTATTCTTTTTAAGTAAATGCACTACACTTCTGTCTCCCCCCTATTCAAGCAGATTTGTGAATTGATCTGGAGATGTCAAGTTACAATTTGACGACATGTAAAGCCTTTGTAAGCGTTTGTGTCTGACACACTGTCATGTTTCTGTGGTTGTGTCTCTCTCTGTAGCACAATATGCCTTTCTGGCGGATCTCCACTCATGGCGACCTTGTGTCCCTGCACCAAGCGCTGGAACTGGACTTCTTGTAAAGGAGGCAGCATTGAATATCGCACACTATAGGGAAAATGTCGTCCTGTCAGTTTGTGCAGTGACATTGTGTGAGAAAACCCTCCACGAGCCTCGAATGATACACACTCGCATATAAGCAAATCTGCCCTCACTAGACGACTAAGTAATGACTCACTGTGTGATGTGTGATGGTAACGGGGTGGGAGCTGACTGTGAGAAACGGACTGGATGCATCGTTTGGCTGAGTTAAAGGTTCCTCACGCCCAGCGCTCCCTCCTCTACGGCAGCTAAACTCACCATGGCTGAAACTGGCACTGATTTGGACACAGAAGGGAAGACATCCATTTTATTCCTCCTCCTTGTTCTCATCGTCTTTCAAGTATCATAATCTCCTGCAGTGAAAACAATCCCTCTCATTCTTTTTTCTCATCCTGGAATTAATCAACCAAAGGGCCACCTTTGTTTGTTGGCATTCTTGTTTTTCTTGTTGCTGTGTTTTTAATTTAGCTGAAAGAATATCAAAGTTAATTTGTTTAAACAAACCTCTCTCGTTTGCACTCACTCAAAGACTTGAAAGCATCATTTTGCAGAGGTGACTGAGTAATACCCATTCAGCTGTTTAATGAGGAACTAGATGAGGTTATAAACACGTAACTTGGTCACAACCTTTCCGTCAGCTGTCCTGACCTCTCCACTGTGTTGCAACAGCAGATGTGTGGTCCTTATTTTACATACAGTATGTGTCATCTGTGGTCAGTAAGGATATGTGCAGAGAATCAGATGCTCCATTCAACTTCTGACAAAACTGAAACGACCTTTCTGTAACGCTCAGTGATATGACGGGTAGAAAGCAGAGCAGGATGCTCCGAACAGACACCAAACAAGCAAGTAAATTTCCTCCCCCACTGGTAGTAGTAGCATTAGTAAGACTAAGCACGAGATCTTGAAAATAACGTCTGAATGAAAACCTTAGCAGTGTCCCAAAACCACACTAACTCTAATACTGAATGTACGACATACTAATCATCATAGTATCCTGTTTTAGCAGTGGGGCTGCACGGTATGTAGGAAATAAGTGAACACATTGTTAAATATCGCAATAATGATATTACTTGCCAATAATATACAGATATTAAAGGTCCAGTGTGTAGAATGTAGGGGGATATATTGGCAGAAATGGAATATAAAATAATAAGTATGTTTTCTCTAGTGTATAATCACCTGAAAATAAGAATTATTGTGTTCTCGTTACCTTTAGAATGAGCTGTTTATTTATACATGGGGAGCTGGTCCTCGTTTATGGAGATCGCCATGTTGTACCGCCATGTTGCTACAGTGGCCAGAACAGACAAACCAAGCACTGACTCCAGATAGGGCCATCTGAGTTGTCACATTTTCCCATCAGTCACCATAGTGAGAAGTTCATGCAATGAGCAGCATCATAGTGTCACTGGTTTGTAACGTGAAGCTGCTTTATTCAGTGTTTTTACTGATTTTAAATTACTGGTTCTGTTTGTTTTGGAGAGGAGGAGACCTCTGTGGATAATTTGGCTCCCGGTAAAAACTTGCTGAACAATAAACACTGAAGGGATTCTAACCAGGAGAAGTTTTTGTTGGTTGCACACTGCAGTGCACCACTACATGCCACCAAATCCCCCTAAATCTTACACACTTCACCTTTTAAGGTATGCTCAATTCTTCTTCTGAATTTAAAGAATGAAAGGAAATTATTTCCAACTTTCTTGTTTGAACAAATTGAACATTGAGTTAAACACAAAAGGCACCAATAAATTAAAAAAAAAAAAAATTAAAAGCACAATTTTCTATTGATAATCTGATCAATGAGTGGAGTATCTCTGTCTTTTGTGATGTGTTTATTGTATAACCTGATATTATGGTGTCTTGGCAAAAAAAAAAAAAAAACGTGCAGCCCTATTTAGTATCCAAAAACATTAACATACATAACCTTTTTATGTTTTGAGGGAATTACATAATACACCCAAAAGTCTCTGCAAGTTAAACTTATAGAAAGCTAAACGTTTTTCTATAAGTATCACTTATTTTAGTTTTCCAAGATTTATCTTGAGTTTTTTCCCTTGCACCCACAACTTATTTTAAATTTTCTCCAGTTCTAAGCACCCACCTAATTTTCTCTGGGAACTGCATTGTGTGAAAAGTGTCTAGAATCGACCATATTTAGCCGCCTACTGTGTGATTAGTGAGCCACAAAGTTGTCACTTTTCTATTGTGAAGACACTATACTAAAAACCTGTGCAGAATCAGTATGTGGTATGGATTTGGGACACGACAATCTGATTTAAAGGATTCAATGTTTATTTTCTGGTTTGAGAAAATGCTCCACAAACTGTTTAAAAACCTGTTGATTATCTGAAAATTGGTTTGACACAAAGCTACAAACAGGGCTGTTCTTCTTTGCTGATGATGTTATGTTATACTAGTAATATACTGATGCAGCTGTTTTTGGGGTTCCAAAGTATCCTTTAACTCCTATGAGGAGATGAACTGCCATTAGAAATTCATTGAAGTGCTTAGTTGAATGTGGTACAATACAAGCATTTAAAATAATGGGATTTACTGTAGATTGGTGAACAGTTTATGTTTTTCAGAATGATGTAAATCAGGATAACATGACTCTGGTAACAAATGTTAAGTGTGTTTAGGTTGAGGGAGGAAACTATAAGGGATCATACCCATGGATGGATTCCAGAACTGGTCACAGAGCCTCTGTTTAAAATGGCCGGTAACTTTTATTGTTATAAAGTCACAGAGCTCAGTTTGTGTTTTGCTCCCAATCCTTTGCCAGTCTTTTTCCTTTTAGAGCCAGGCTGAAGTGTCGGTCAGTATTGGTGTATATCTCAGCCCATAAGTAACAAGACATTGTAGTACAGAGACAGTGTTTCCATTCCCTAATTCTCCACCTAAGAGCACTGACTAGTTCATTTTTTTGCGCTGTAAAACGTCTCTCTCAGGATGGTCACGAATCTAAAGGATCTACAGGGTTAGGGGCTGTATGTCAAGATCATAGTGAATGGAAATGCAAAAATAATTTTCTGTAAATTTGGTTAAAGTTTGCGCTCCGTATGAATGGAAACCCAACTACAGATAACAGCTCCATTGGCCCAAACTTTGCAGGATGCAGGATCTGAATTGGTTTGAATGGAAAACTGTCTGTTATGGATCTGTTGTGTCAGGAAGCTTTAGACAGCCTCTCTCTTTCTCTTTGTGTCCAGCATGAACTAAACACTGAAGTTTAGTTTTTAAACCAACAACAGCACCCAATAGCTTTGGTTCAGGATGAAGGTCCTGGTTGCATGGGTGCTCCTATGTTTTGAGACATCTGTCCTCAGGGGCCCCATTGTCTCATAATCCGCCCGTGCTCTCACCTTTCAGCCTCTGACTCAGCTTATACATTGTTTGGAGGATTATAATCACTTAAGAGGTTTCATTATGAGTTTCCTCTTCTCATAGTGAAGACAGTTGTTGCATCTCATCACAGGAGGAGAGCGGTGTTCGTAAAGCATTTGTACAATTTGACAAAACCAGGGCAAAAAATAGTCTTAGCCAGTAGGATTAAGTTTGATATCTCTTACATGTTGTCATGTTGTTGCAACAAAACCAGAGTTGCTCTGTTAACGCAACTGAATGTCAAAATGGTCATTTACCAAAAAGGAACTTGCATACTTTCGTTTCCAAAGACTTTACTCAACATGTTTCTCAGTTGTTTTTCAGGCAGTTGTCAACATTCGTTGTATTAATTAGTTAAAACTAGAGCTGCAACTAAAAATTGTCTTTATCAGATTATCTGCAAATTATTTTCTCAATATTTTTGGTCAACTGTTTCATCTAGAGTTGCAACGATTAGTTGATTAACTAAGTGGTCAATCTGGAAAAAAAAAAAAATCAGTTGTAGTAAAAAATTTTAAGCAAAAATGCCACTAATTAACAGGTTCTAGCCTCTCAAATGTGAGCATTTGCTGTTTTTCTTGGACTTATATGATAGCAAACTGAGTATCTTTTGGTTTTTTTGAGTGATTGTTGGTCAAAACAAGCATCTGAAGATGTCACTTTGGGGTCTGGGAAATTGTGAGTAGCTCCTACTACTATTCTTTGACATTTTTATAGACCAACGATCAATCAAGAAAATAACCATGAGTTGCAGCCCTAATTTTGTCCATGAAATGTCAAAAAAATGGTTAAAAATGTCCACAACAGTTTCCCACAGCTCAATGTGACGTCTTAAAATTGCTTATGTTGGACCAAATTTATTGTCTGAGGAAAATGTAAAACTGCAAATATTCACTTTAAAACAATACAAAAACTTACTGAAAAAATTAGTTAATTGTGAAAAAAAGTTGCAGACTCGTCAACTAATTGTTTCAGCTCTAGTTAAAATTTGGGAATTTAAGTGTATCCAATAAGTGCAACCATAGCTTTGAATTTTCAGCCACATGACAACCCACAACCTCTCGAAGGCGTATCAGAGGGGACAAATTTACACAAAGGATGATGACTGTGCAATACATTTCTACTTTGCTCACTGACTGTATTTCAAGGGACTTTTCATTTTGTAGATGGTGAGAGAAGCCGGAGGAGTCGATCGACTGTCCCCCGGTCCGTGTGAGATTATGACTGAACAATACTGAGCCTGAAGAAGACTTTGTATTTACACACATGCAGCTTGACCGTTAAGAATGTGTATTTCTGTGTAATTTTTGTTTGTCTTGCGTGACTGTGCATATTTATATTGTGCCTTTAACCATCAATTGTATGCATAATCTCAAAGGGAAAGATTTTGTTTGATACATTTATCACTGCATTGTTATATTATCCAAAGTGTTATCTTACTTTTTTTAAATTCAATACTTTTTTTAAGTGTTTTTTTGTTACTAGACTTTGTTTGATTTGATTGTGTTGTCTGCACTGTATTTGAAAGGCCTCCTTCTAGAAAACTATACATCCATTTTGGGGAAAAGTTCATGTGGGTTGCTCAGTGTTTAAAGAAAATTTTAGTGAAGGGCCGAAGAACAGTTATTTTGCTATCAGTTACGTTTTCAAAGAATAGATGTCTCAATTTGGATTGACAACACATTTGTGTTTCATGTAAATTTACTTGTGGAAATCCCACCATCAGCATTCAGTTTCTGCTTTGTATTAGATTTCTGCTTCCTTTTGAAAAGGAGATTGCGTTTGTTTTGTTGCTGTGAAACGCTTAGCATCGCTTAGAGACAATCAGGATCTAAATACATGGTATTTTTAATGCAGATTACTAAAGTGAAAGGCATGTTTGATTGTTCAGTGTGAATTAAAGGTAAATCTATCAGATCTGGCGTTTGAGAAAACTGAGACCATATGCAATCTTTGCATTTTTGTCTGCATATTGAATGTGTTTTCTGTTTATTTCTTTACTTTGTCTGCATGTCATGTCTGTTTTGAAGTATACCATGGCTGTTAAATAATGACCATGCAATGTTTAAGGGGCTATATTCTTCTATGTGTGCTCTTTTTTCTTTCCAATGCCAAATACTGTTATTATTTTTATGTTAATGTTTTGTTTTGTTTTTTAATGTATTTCATCTCATTTTCAAGGACCTGTGAGGCCACATGTAGAGAGCCTGAATGTGATCCTGTAAACGGAGCACCATCATAATAATCGATGCTAATTTAATTACAATAATCACTATGTTCCCCACAGTAGCTGTTTGGGACCTCTACACAGCCCTGTAAGGTTTCCCTGTGTACCTTAGACACTCAGTACAGTGTAAATAAATTTCAAAAAGTTTCAGACTCAAGTTTTGGTTTATTATATATTACTATAAAAAAAAATACAATTGTATACAAAAATACAATTACAAATTATTGACAACATCTGTTATAAATATAATCCATAAACATTTTCAGTAAAAATCTGTTTCTTAATGATAAATGTGATATTGGAAGATGTTTCTGGGCAGCTGTTGATAGACTGGTCCTTATTGGTTGTTAACAATCATTCCTCCCTTCCATACATGCCAAAGACATCCCCCCTAATGCTATTCAACTATAAGCTTTCACAACAATATAGTTCAGTCACCCTCCTCACATTAATACCTTTCACGAAAGTCAATTTTAACATTTTGGTCGCCTACAAAATGTCTGTACAGCACTTGGTCATACTCAAAGATCCTCAAAGGAGTTGGGTGTAAGGGTTTTCTAGTAAGAACATTTTGTAATCATGGATTTAAGCTTGTTCTTGGGGTGGCAGCAGCTCAGTCCATGGGGACTTGGGTTGGGAAGTGGAGAGTTGCCTGCTCAAGTCCCCGCCCGGACCAAAATATGGAGCCTGGACACTGCTGAGTTGCCCTTGAGCAAGGCACCGAACCCCCCCAACTGCTGGGAGTGCCTGTCATGGGCAGCCCCCTCACTCTGACATCTCTCCACTTAGTGCATGTATAGGTGCTGTTTGTGCATGTGTGTGTTCAAACCTGTGTGCAATTGACAACCGAGTGAAAGAATTGAATTTCCCCTCAGGGATTAATAAAGTATATAAAATTTAAAAAATTAAATTAAATTAAAAATTAAAATTCTTCACTAACACAAATTAGCATTAGCATAAGCAAGATCACAGTTAACAGCTGTAAATGCATTGTGTAACCAGTCTGGCAGCTAGTGTTAGGGTCACTTCTGGCTCCAAACATCCAAGGTGGCACTAAAGGCCAAAACGGGAGTTCATAAAACAATGCGTGATGTCACAGAAGGCTTGGGTAATATCTCACTTTTCCTACCCTCATACTTTCCTAAAATTTCACACAGGGGTATCCGGTATACCATGATATGGGTGTGCGCCACTGCTATGCCCCCATCCCACTACTTTCCGCATACTATAGCTTTTTCAGACAAATAAATACATAATATAAACTCACAAAATGTTCATCTAAGTCATATTCTCACACCTATTTTCCTTATTAAAACAGAAAAATACAACTACGCCTTTTGAATTCAAATTTCAGAAACCAAATAATCCATCTCGGTTACTCTTTTTAGTCATCTAATAAGTACAGTACAGGCCAAAAGTTTGGACACACCTTCTCATTCAATGCGTTTTCTTTATTTTCATGACTATTTACATTGTAGATTCTCACTGAAGGCATCAAAACTATGAATGAACACATGTGGAGTTATGTACTTAACAAAAAAAGGTGAAATAACTGAAAACATGTTTTATATTCTAGTTTCTTCAAAAGAGCCACCCTTTGCTCTGATTACTGCTTTGCACACTCTTGGCATTCTCTCCATGAGCTTCAAGAGGTAGTCACCTGAAATGGTTTTCCAACAGTCTTGAAGGAGTTCCCAGAGGTGTTTAGCACTTGTTGGCCCCTTTGCCTTCACTCTGCGGTCCAGCTCACCCCAAACCATCTCGATTGGGTTCAGGTCCGGTGACTGTGGAGGCCAGGTCATCTGCCGCAGCACTCCATCACTCTCCTTCTTGGTCAAATAGCCCTTACACAGCCTGGAGGTGTGTTTGGGGTCATTGTCCTGTTGAAAAATAAATGATCGTCCAACTAAACGCAAACCGGATGGGATGGTAGGTCACTGCAGGATGCTGTGGTAGCCATGCTGGTTCAGTGTGCCTTCAATTTTGAATAAATCCCCAACAGTGTCACCAGCAAAACACCCCCACACCATCACACCTCCTCCTCCATGCTTCACAGTGGGAACCAGGCATGTGGAATCCATCCGTTCACCTTTTCTGCGTCTCACAAAGACACGGCGGTTGGAACCAAAGATCTCAAATTTGGACTCATCAGACCAAAGCACAGATTTCCACTGGTCTAATGTCCATTCCTTGTGTTTCTTGGCCCAAACAAATCTCTTCTGCTTGTTGCCTCTCCTTAGCAGTGGTTTCCTAGCAGCTATTTGACCATGAAGGCCTGATTCGCGCAGTCTCCTCTTAACAGTTGTTCTAGAGATGGGTCTGCTGCTAGAACTCTGTGTGGCATTCATCTGGTCTCTGATCTGAGCTGCTGTTAACTTGCCATTTCTGAGGCTGGTGACTCGGATGAACTTATCCTCAGAAGCAGAGGTGACTCTTGGTCTTCCTTTCCTGGGTTGGTCCTCATGTGTGCCAGTTTCGTTGTAGCGCTTGATGGTTTTTGCGACTCCACTTGGGGACACATTTAAAGTTTTTGCAATTTTCCAGACTGACTGACCTTCATTTCTTAAAGTAATGATGGCCACTCGTTTTTCTTTAGTTAGCTGATTGGTTCTTGCCATAATATGAATTTTAACAGTTGTCCAATAGGGCTGTCGGCTGTGTATTAACCTGACTTCTGCACAACACAACTGATGGTCCCAACCCCATTGATAAAGCAAGAAATTCCACTAATTAACCCTGATAAGGCACACCTGTGAAGTGGAAACCATTTCAGGTGACTACCTCTTGAAGCTCATCGAGAGAATGCCAAGAGTGTGCAAAGCAGTAATCAGAGCAAAGGGTGGCTATTTTGAAGAAACTAGAATATAAAACATGTTTTCAGTTATTTAACCTTTTTTCGTTAAGTACATAACTCCACGTGTTCATTCATAGTTTTGATGCCTTCAGTGAGAATCTACAATGTAAATAGTCATGAAAATAAAGAAAACGCATTGAATGAGAAGGTGTGTCCAAACTTTTGGCCTGTACTGTAAGTCATGCGGGCCAGTGGTGCACTGGATAACACGTCTGACTACGGATCTCATTAGTTAGTCCACTGTTCCAGCAGTCACCGACTTTTATGTTGACACTTTTTTCCCGTTGGAAATACGTCTTTTCTATCGAGCGACACTCATCAAAAGTGTCATGCACCAAACCATAGATAAGGCTTAACACAAGCCATTTGAATGCACACTGCTCTTTCACCAATCAGTCTAAGACAAGCAGCAGTGGTGGGCAGGGCAGAGGCCAGATCCAGAATTTTTCAATGAGGGAGAAAGAAATATTTGAAATACTTGAAATCATGTCTGAAGGAGGACTTTAAAAATCTCTCCACAGGCAGTACGAACAAGAAGGAAAATTACAGCAACCCAAAACTATTTCAGTGTACATATGGGCATGTAAGTATCATTTTAAGGCAGACTTAAAAAAAAGTGAACCTATCCTTGAAAAGGAAAATAAATTAAATGATGATCGGCACATAGCAGCACCAGTTAGTGCAGTGAAGACAGTGCTCATGAGAATACAGCAGTCGTGACTTGTAGTCGTTTCCCATGAGGTAGAATCAGGGAGCAGGTCACAGTCCCTCTATCCCACACAACCTCATGATCTTGATTAATGAGGCTAGTCAAGTCTGCATGAGTCAGTCTAACCTCCGTGTCTGGTGGATGTCAGGTGACGCGGCTCAGGCGTAGAAGTTCTCAGCCAACTTCTTCATTCTTTTATTGCAGCGTTTAGTGACCGGTGCAGGTGGGCTTGGCCAGCTACGATATGTAATCTCCTTCTCCACGTCTAAATCTTCCAATGAGGATATAGGAAAGTCTGTCTCATCTCCAGGGAATGGAGTCCTAGTAGGTCCCTGTCCAACTCTGGACTTTTCTGCAGTGTCCCCTTTTAGCTCCTCCTTTGCCAGGCTTGGATGGCTGTACTTATAATATATCATCTTAAAAAAGAGGCCAAGGATGTAAACCCCAACAACACTGACTGCTGTGATGACAGCATACAGGGGTGGGATTTCAAAATAAGGCGGTTCTGTGCTCATCTTCCAGCACCACAGACCACAGAGGAAGGAAATGTCAACCAGTATGTAGCCATGATAGAGCAGAGTCCTGTACCTCGTCCTCCCCTCGACCACATTAAGCCAGTCGAAATACCAGATGAGGCCCACAGTGGCTCTGTAAAGCCATTCTCCACAAGCACTGTCCATGAATTCCGTCTTGGCTCTCCAGACGAAAAAGAATAACACCATCCAAGAGCACAAGAAGTGGGAGAAGATGAAGCAGGGCAGCACGGAGGCGAAGAGGGCGAGGGCGGTTAGACGAGACGTAATGAGGAACAGGTTCCAGAGGAAGTAGACTAACGAGGAGATCATCTGCTGTTTCTGTTTGTCAGGCAGAAAGGAGCGCAGGGAGCGGTGGTACATGGTCACACTGAAGGCGATGGCTGAGGCTGACCCAAGGGCCTTTAACACTGAGGAGGAGAAGACGTCATCATTAGGGAAGCTAGAAGTGACTGTAATTAATGTGTTTCCTCTTAGTAAAGAGTAGATAGTACTTTCATTGATAGAGTAGCCTTTTTCATGCATATACAGCACTGTTTTGGGTGCATTAAAGACCCCTTCAAATGAAAATCAAGTTTTTAACCTTAGTAACAGGTCCATATGGTGTTTTGGTGAGCATTTCTGCCTTGGAACTGTATAATGTACCAATGACCAGATTCAGACAGCCAGGGGATGATACGTCACATGCTGGTACCTTCATTATGGCAAAACAAGGGGTATCAGAAGAGAAGAGGTCCTCCCCCAGGAAATTTTGAGTGCCAAACATTTAATTTCATGCATTTTGATCCATGTTTAAGCACTGATTTCTGCCCTTTTTGCATCTATTTACGAAGGAAATGTCATGGTACATTCTGCTTCAACTTTACATAGTTGCTTTTTTGTCTGGCTGTTTTATGGCAGACTGCAACCATTGCTTCTGAGGTTGCATACTGCCGCCATTTATTTTACTGAAGGCACTGTTGCATTGATCAGTCACGGTCTAGCAGTCTTTCGAAGTAAAAGTCCTCTGCTACATTCATGTTTTCATAAGGGGGGGAGGGCAAATGCACATGTTAAAAATATTGAGGGGACATGCCCCCTGGTGACTCCCCCAAATCGAAATGATGTAGCTCTGAGAGATGAGAACACACTGTACCTGTCACAGGGTCAAGCTCGCCCCGCTGCATAATGATAGTGAGCATGAGGACAAGCTGAGGGGCACTCTCCGAAAACGTCTCTATGAGCCGCAGCATGCTCAGGTCGTGGCTCAGGAACACTGCTGTACCCTCGGGGTCATCGACCTCTGAGTAGGAGTTGCATAAGGAGATCTCCACGACACCTGCATGCCTGAGAGGACAAAGTTATGGGATAGAGAGAGCAGAGTTAAAACCAATTGAGTTACGTCAGTGATGGAAGAAGTGCTCAGATCTTAACAGTACAAGGAACAACACAACAATGTAAAGTACAAGTTCATCAAAACTGTTCTTTAAGTACAGTATTTGAGTAGATTTATTTACTTTCCACCACTGAGACACTCATTGTGATTTCTTTGGTAGTGTTGTCATCAGTGCAGTGCTTCAACAGAACTAGTTCAACAAGGCTCTAATATCAAATCAGATTATCTACTGCAGATAAAGAACCTTTCGTATAACTCACGTTTCATTCTTGAATCTTTGCGGTCACAAAAGTGGATCTACAGAGACTTTCGCATAAGACATGCCACTGTTACAACACACTACTGTTACAACTACTATCATGTATCAAATTTAGAGGAAATGAAACAGCTGATGTAATTCACAACAGAAATTACTTAATGTTTTGTTTTTATCTAAAAAGATAGAGTGTTTTGCGTATACTAAAATTCAATAGTTTTTACACCACCCTAGTTTGGAGTTGAGCTAGAGTGAGGCACAACTGTTCCATTCAGACTGTATTTCCCGTAAATGGGAATATGTGCATGAACAGACAAGGGTGGAGCTCTCTGATATAGAGCCACACGTATAAAGAGAAATCGCCTTACTATTCTGCATTCACACTCACTTCCCCACACATACAAAAGAAGGAAATACAGCCTGTGGCACTTGGAACACACCAGGATTATTGTAATACACAACGTTTGCACAACCTGAAGTAGATCCCCAGCTGGAAAACATGAAGCAGCCTGAGCTGGCTCGGGCTCAGGCAATTTTCAACCTTTGTCTGCCTCTTAAATTCCTCGTAGCTGTACCACAGCCAGCTGTAGGCCTGAACAAGAATGGACGAGCCGATGAGAAGCAGCAGCAGGATGCCAAGGCTCCAGTAGGCTTTTTCTTGGTAGAAAACCACAGCTGCCCATATATCCAGCCCTATGTCAAGCAGCAAGAACACTAGTCCACAAAGAATAAAGACGAAGTCCACGGGGGAGTACTTGAACACACCCATAGTGTCTGTCAAATTAAAGTTTACACATATCCCCTTTAACTACTTGCTTCTATTGTGGCTACATATTTTGGGAGTTGTCAACACGTCACTTGTTAACTGAAAGTAGGCAAAGCGCTAAAGTTCAGTGTCAAACACTTGTAACTCCTCCTATTGACCCTCCTTCATAGTTATGTAACTTCTTAAAGGGATACTGCAGTAATATATTCATTACCAGTTTACATGCAAAGAACTCATACTGACAGCTGTCACTTTAATCGTTAAGCTCTATAGTACTACCATATTTAAAGAAAGCTATTTTACTGTGAAATAAAAGAGACTGAGCTGTAAATTATCATGCAGATCACATACTGTCTGCATGAAGTGTACAACTAGTTATTGTCTTGCAGATGCATGCCTCTGCCAACAAGTCAGGTTGCAGTTCACACATCTGTCCAAACTCCTATAATATAGTAGTGATAGAATATATGTCATGAATTTCCAGTGAGAAACCACCTGAAGCTGCATGTTGGCAAACCCAGTGAGCTTGTGGCGGACTAGAGGAACAGGATACGACACAAAGTCGTAGCTATGACAGTAGAAAGTGCTTCAAATATGGACGTCGCTGCAAAGAAGCTCCAAATTCTAAAACATAGATGCTTCACACACATTTTCAACCTGGCAGCTCAGACAATCAACACGCTCAGCACAGTTTCAGATTAGATTCACCAATTAAGTATCTGACCAAATGTCTCCCCTTCTGTTCCAGAATTATGATGTTGAGTAATGGCCAGAAACGTGTTCATCTGCAGAACATTATGATGTCACAGTGAAGTTGACCTTTGACCTTTTGAATATAAAATTGCCATCACTTCATCCTTTTATCCTGTTAGACATTTGTGTGAAATTTTGTCATAATAAGTGTAGGAATTTTGAAGTTATGGCCATAGATTTTTTGGGGGGCATTTTAGCCTTTAATTGACAGGACAGACAAGTGTGAAGGGGGGAGAGAGAGGGAGTGACATGCAGGAAATGGCCACAGGCTGGAGTCGAACCTGGGCCCCTGCGGCAACAGCCTTGTACATGGGGCGCCTGCTCTATCCACTAAGCCACCAACGCCCCTGACCACCAGATTCTAAGCAATGGATTCCTGATCCATCATTGAATTTTAAAAATTCCCTAAAGGCCTTCTTGCGATACCGTGTTCTTGGAATTGAGATGTACACAAGGTCACTGTGACCTTGACCTTTGACCACCAAAATCTAATTGGTTCATTGTTGAGTCCAAGGATGCCAAATGTGAAGAAATTCCCTGAAACTGCTCTTGAGATATCGGATTCACCAGGATGGACAGACAACTGGAAAACATAGCACCTTGTTCTGATGGCACGCACATGTTACATAAATATTAATTTTTGAGAAATAATCTAAGGATTTTAGCAAGTTATGACCTTTGTCATGTCAATGTATGAATTGTTTCAAGAGATGCACTTACTGTTTTGCAAATGTTAAGGCTGATTCAACAAATATTGCAAAGCGGCTGAGAAAAACTAGTAATTTATATGTTTACTAAGATAGAGCAACTGCCCCGACTGGAAAGCACTTTGGATCAACTCTTTTTTTAATTGTGCACAATACATAAAACTGACTTGACATAAAAATCATACTGAAAGCTGTCACTGTAACAATGACGTGTAAAAAAAAAGCACATATTAAAACACAATAGATTACAACTTTGTAACCACTTTAATAATTGCACATGGCAAATGAGATAAAATATTAACAACCAGCGGTGACCTTGACTTTTAGTTTCAGTCAAGTTTGTTGACAAAAAAGTGAATCTACGACATTTTATGAACATTAACAATGAATTAAAAAGCGTTTAACATATGAAAATAACACGTAAAACAAAAACTTTATTTAATTTTAGGGACACTGCAAAAAGCTTTAAATAGAACATGCTCTGTGTAGAGTAGTAAGGATTGTATGTGTGTAGCACAGTTTACACTGATACTGAAGTAAACAGACATTTGGCACATGTGATATTTAAACAAACTAAACAAACACAGGATGAGCGAGTAAAAGTAACACCAGTGGTTTCGAACTTAAAGCTGACGTCATGAGTTTTTAAATATGTACCAACAATTCCAAGTTGACGTGTAAAGAGTTAACACTTGACTTTAACTTATTTTACACCTTGATGACAATAAAAAAATAGTACCCTATCAAGCGGAGAGTTTATGGTCAAATCTACATTCAGGGTCCTTCAAGTAGGGTACCAGTGGTAGCTGTAGCAACACACACATTTAGATACCCCTCGCTGTCATGGTAAGACCCCAGAAATGCATTTATATTTAGAGATAAACTAGGCTACATATATTGAGGAAAACCATCAGGTCTCTTGCAAAACCCTTATGATGTCCAAAATATTATGATCTTTTTTTTTTAATTCAATACAGATAAAGTATTGTTAATGTTATTATTTATCTTTTACCTTGTTGTCAAAAACAAGTTGGTGTTAGAACAAACCCATTTGGTGTCATATGGTATAGAACAAAAGTTGCCCCCTTATAATACGTACGAATGCACTTTGTGTAAAAACAACAAAATACGATTTGCTTTGGAGAAATGTATCAAATAAATGTGTTCAGTGAGGTAAAATTATTGGTTTTGTCAACGGAGTCTGGTGGCTTTAAAGGGAGCATAGATTAGTATGTTTCAGTTTACCATTGGAAAGAGCTGTCTGACAGTAAAGCAGTGAAAATATTCTAAATATAGCGTACGCTTAAACTGCTATATTTTTTTAGGCAGCTAAAATATGTCTTGTTGCTGCCCCCATCCTCAGCAGTACATTGCTCAGCTTGCGGGTCAGTGCTTCTGCCTGCTTCTCCAAAGTACAAATTTTAAACTAGGAAGAAACCAAAATGACACAAGGAACACAAGGGAGACCAGCAACAAATGCAGACGATCTCACAACTGACAGAAGGAAGGCACACAGACAAAATACACAAGGTAAGGACGTGAACAACGAGGGACAGGTGAAACAAGTCAGGGTGGGGAAGGTACTAATTAAGGTGGTAAAACGCTCTAAGGCAGGTAATGAAGTTGACAATGAAAGGAGAGGATTGAGAATGCACAAAAATCAGTAAACAAGCGAGCAGAGTGGGCTAAACCGTTAACTGAAAGCTATGAAAAATCTTTTAAAATACTTACCTAAATGTACTGGATGAATGGTGAAATAGCTAAAAGTGAAGGATAAAAAGCTAAACTAGTTAGCTAAAAGTTACTTTGCTGGATAAACAGTTGAAACAGGTAACTAAAAGCAATAGTTTAAATAGTTAACTAAAAGTTAAAGGTTGAAAACAGAGTACTGGATGAATGACGAAATAGCTAAAAATAATCAATAAACAGTTGAAAATGTTAGCTAAAGTACCGAATAAATGATGAAATAGCTAAAAAATAATAAACAGTTGAAAATGTTAGCTAAAGTACCAGATAAATGATGAAATAGCTAAAAATAATCAATAAACAGTTGAAAATGTTAGCTAAAGTACTGGAGAAATTATGAAGTAGCTAAAAACAATCAATAAACAGTTGAGAGCATTAGCTAAAGTACTGGATAAATGGTGAAATAGCTAAAAATAATCAATATACTGTTGAGAACGTTAGCTGCAGTACTGGATAAATGATGAAATAGCTAAAAACAATAAACAGTTGAAAATGTTAGCTAACATACAAGATAAATGATGAAATGGCTAAAAATAATCAATAAACAAATATAAATAGCCTAAATAGTTCACTGAAAGTAGCTAATAGAAAAAAATTTGAATAGCTAGCTAAAGGTTATGGATAAATAGTGAAATATCTTAAAGTAATGGATTAACAGATGAAATAGTTAATTAAAAATAATGGATAAATAGTTGTGATAGATGGATGGTTCAGATAAATGGTTGAAATAGTTTGCTTAAAGTACATAGCTGGCATATTTAGCAATTAAATATAAATGAAATATAGCTAAAAGTTATGGACAAACCATTGATATATTCATCCTCTGCTAGTCCAAGTATTAGTAGTACAAAATACCAATCTAAACATTGACAATTCAGTTGTATCAAAACATTGTTTTAGTGTTAAATCACACATTCCATGGTGTCGATGGGGTACTTGAGGACAGGGCTAAGAGGTTGTGTCAGACAAAAATTGTTGAGAGCCACTGATATAGGGCACAGAGCAGGTAAAATAAAACAGAGTCAGGATGATTACAAAATGGATCTTGTCTTTATTTTATATATAACAATATATACCAGTGGGTGAAGATGAAGCAGGGCAGCACAGAGGCGAAGAGGGCGAGGGTAGTAAGGCGAGATGAGATGAGGAACAGGTTCCAGAGGAAGAACACTGAGGTGATCACCTGCGGCGGCAGCTTGTCAGGCAGGAGGAAGCCCGGGGTGCGGTAGTGCATGGTCAACCCGAAGGCCATGGCTGAGACTGACCCAATGGTCTTCCCCACTGAGGAGGAGAAGACGAAGAGTGAATGAATAAGGTCCAGACATGACTGCAATGGCAGCTAACTGTAACTCCGGGAGGTCCTGAGAAAACCTGTTTGGTGAAGAGCAGAAAGGAACTATATGTCCTCTCATTGTGTTCAACAGCCTCTAGGAAAGGCAAAGCGTAACCTAGATTTGCATTTTTACTTCAGCACTTTAATCTTAATTCTAATTCAACACTCATGACTGAATTCGTTATTTGATGCCAAATCTAAATAACAATCAGAGACATGAGTCACACACTGCACCTGTCACATGGTCGAGCTTGCCCTGCTGCAGAAAGATAGTGAGCATGAGGACAAGCTGAGGGGTGCTCTGAAAACGTCTCAATGAGCTGCAGCATGCTCAAGTCGGGCCTCAGGTACACTGCTCCAACCTTGTTGTCACGGGTCTTTGGGTAGAAGCTGCGTAAAGAAGTCTCTGCTGCACCTGCGTGCCTGAGCAAACAAATTTGTGGGACAGAGAACATACAGTTAAAACCCTTTTGACAACCAAATATTGAAGATAATAACTAGTTATACCAACTGAGTCATCATCAGATCTTTTACCTAAAGATCTATTATGCGGGATTTTCCGGGAAAAAAACCCTCAACATATTGACACATTCAATCATCATTTATGACCCACTAATGGTGTGTTGTGGTGTATTTACTGCAGAGACTCCACCCCTGCCTGTATTTCTTATTTCGTCTTTTTCCTGTGCTTGGAACATTTGTGGGCATGTATACCCACAGCGCTCAGGTGAGTTCAGGCCTTATAGTGACCAGGTGCCAGACCATAAGCAGAAGCCATTCAAGAGAGGCAACACCAAAAAAAAAAACGCAAATATACCAAGGCCAAACACCATACCAAATTGAATCTGGGGTAAAAGTCTTGCATTCAAAATCTTATTAAGTCTGATTGTGGTAGAGATTGTTGGTATGTGAACTTGACACCCAAAGAAATACACCTCTCCCATCAGTGCTCCTTCAGAAGCTCGGTTTTATCTATAGACTGTATGAATAATGGACATGGCTACCATGGCATCGCTCACTGGTACAGCTACAGTGCAGTATGATAGTGCAGCACAATTATTCCATTCAGATTATTAGTTTACTTTGCATTTCCTGTAAATGGGACTGTTTTCATGAACAAACAGATGAAAGCCACATGTAAAAAGAGAAAACACCTCACTGTCCTGCATATACAGCCATCTTCCCACATAAGCTACAACAGAAGAAAACACAGCCTCACACACTTTGAACACTTAGAGATATTGTAATACACAAGGTTTACACAACCTGCAGAAGATCCCCAATTGGACAACATGAAAAAGCTTGAGCTGGCCCCAGCTCACACATTTCTCAACCGCTGTGTGCCTCTCAAAGTTGACCCTCCCTCAGGGTCCCGTGACATCTTAAAGGCACACTGTCGTAATAACAAATAACAAAATTGTTAAATTCTGGTCTAACGACAACACTGAAATTCTGAGGGGAGCTACTTGTGCACAGACTGGGGCGTTCTGCATGAGTCTGACGTGATTAAAACCAACGAGGTCATTACAGCTTATGTGAACTTCTGTGTGGAAGGAGTTCCCAAAAAGACAATAAAACAGTACCCCAACAACAAGTCCTATATTACTGAGGACATTAAAGACTGTCCGAGTGGAATTACAGTCATTGCAGAAGGAGCTGAAGCAGAAACTCAATGTGGCTAAAAGGAGATAAAAGGAATCCATAGACAATTACTTTAGGGCTAATAACAAAAAGAAAATGTGGGCCACATTATTTATTACAAATATGATTTAGAAAAGGAACCCGTTGTATACTAATGATGAAAGAAAAATGGCAAATGATTTGAATGCTTTTTACGTAAGACTAGTCCATACCCGTAGGTAGCTTTGTCACCTTCTACCTATGCCAATCCTCAATGCCTATGTGCAGTTTCACATAGATTGACCATGTCAGTGAGTAGAAAAACGTGGGACAGACAGAACCTCGCCTACCACAGCCCTTCGGCAACTCTGGAGGGACAATTTGTTTACAATTCAGAATTTGTTTACATTTTGTGCTGCTGAACCACCTTATGGGACAACTTGGATGCTTTATTTTTTTTCTTTCTTAATGCTTTGCAAGGTATCGGATCGCACTCGGTATCGGACTCAGTTTCAAAATAAAGCACTCGGTATCGGATCGGATGCAAAAAAAAAAAATTGTGATCGGGACATCCCTATCTTGTAGTTTTAGTTCTCCTATCAATGGTACCTTTGGCAACAGGAACGGTCCCTTTTCATTCTGGTTACATGTTTAGCACACATTTGCTGAAGACAAAAATTTAGCTTAGACTAGTTGTTAGTCATTACAGACACAGACAGTGCAACAGGTACCAGAGCTCCGCAAAGACATTTTAGAAAATGCTAAGTTGACACAATTAAATATTTGTAAAAAAAAAAAAAAAAAAAAAAAGTATTTGCTAAACTGAAGGCATATTACTTTAGAAAAGAAGCAGCTAGCCACTGGTACTAACCACAGTCTATGGGACTAACTAGCTTACTGCTACTTCCGCTATCTCACTAGAAGTTGCGCACATTATCATGTCTACAGTAGTGTCCTCAGGAATAAGGTGGATACTGACAACATGGCTAAGCATTTTGACTATCTTGTTTGTAAACAATGACACAAGGACTTGTCATTCTGTTGGCATGGACATGAAATATACCAAATCGACTGATAAAAACTGTGTAGATGTGTCATATAAATAAAACTGACTTGACTTGACATACAACTTACATTTAAAGCTGTCACTGTAACAATGAGGCTCCACAGTATTCTCATATTTAAATAGTTATTTTACTGCACAGTATAAGAGACTGAGCAGTAATTCATCATGCAAATCACATAGTGTCTGCAGTCTGCATCACGTGTAAAGAAAGCACAGATTAAAAACAGATAATAGCCTACAAGATTGTAAACACTTTAATAATTGCACATGGCAAATGAGGTAAAATATAAACAACCAACAGTGACTTTTGGTTTCAGAAGAGTCTGTTGGCAAAGAAGTGGATCTACAACACTTTATAAACATTAACACTGAACTGAAAGCAGTTTAACGTGAAAATAAATCATAACACACAAAAACTTGAATCAACTTTTAGGGCACTACAAAAAGATTTGAACAGCACATGCTCCGTGTAGAGTCATAAGGATTGTCTGTGTGTAGCACAGTTTACACTGATAGTGAGGTAAACCGAGACGTTTGGAACATGTGACATTTAAACAAGCTAAACAAACACTGGATGAGCGAACAAAAGTAACACCAGTGGCGTCATGTGTGGCAAATATGTACTTAAATATGTAGTTGACATGTAAAGTATCAACACTTGACTCAAACTTTTTTACAGTATCATCTTGATGAAAACTTCTCCTCCGTCAGCTGGTCTAAAACAGCTGTTTCACACAGTAACAGGACATAGATATTATAACAGGAGCGCTCATGGTTAATTCTACATTCAAAGTCCTTCAAATAGGTTCCAGTAATAGCAGCTGTAACAACCAAACACTCAAAAACAACACATGACTTCAGATACCCAATGCTGACATGTAAAACCTCAGACATCCACTTAAATTAAAAGATTAACTACATAAAGTGGAAAAAAACAGCTCTCTTACCAAAAACCCTTATAATATCCCAAATATTATGTATATAAAGTATTTTTTTTTTGCCTTGTCAGTGTTTTTTTTCTTTGTATATTAAAAAACATCAACATCAGCTAACCCATATGATCTACGGTATGTATGACAAACGTACAAATTGACTCCACGTATAAATGTACTTCAAGCATCATCATGAAACACAATTTGTTTTGTAGAGAATGTATCAAATAAAGCTAACACTTCACTTTCTTGGTTTAGAAATGAGCGTATCAAATTATCCCCAGTTTCAAGTTGAGACATCTGACAATGTATGATTATATACAGTGGCAGCTGTCCCTTTAGTATCTATGCTGGTATTGGCAAGGTTGCAGGTCAGTTTTTCCAGGAACTTCTTATATGACAATATATGTTCTGATGTTTGATGTATGTGAAAAGAATTTTATCCATATTGTCTTAGTTTCAAGTACGGTTTGTGAGCCTGCATTTTGGTTCAAATTACACTGAGCACTAGGGATGGGAATCGAGAACTGGGTCCAATTGAAAACCATGTCCAAACTGTCCTATCCGTTGGAATGGTATGCCTCTGAGCTTATTGGTTCTGGCATTTTTCTCTGACATTTGCACTTTGCAAAACAATGACATAAACTCCTGCTTCTACACCGATGGAAACTTGCAACAAGGAGTCATAGCCATAGAGGAAAATATGGTCCAAAGCGTGGCCTCACTTCACAAAGAAAGATGACAACAGTGCTGCTTGTATGTCCGTACAGTGATCATTTCAAGTAAGGATGGAAACACCTGCAATATGCTGAAACATCTCACGACGCAACATGCACTTCATTTCCAGGAATGCCATGTATTTGGCACTCCACACAGGTGCTACTGCTTCCCAACTGAGCAGCATGTCAGTTACTGAGGGTAAATATCTAAGTACATTATAACGACAGTGGCGTCACACAGGCCGGTTTAGCAGATTCTTTCTTTGACTAAAACAGCCTGGATGAAAACAAATGCTGTGCAAATATTCTCTCATTTAATCTATGTTGTGTTCAGACTCAGAGATAATAAAACTGTTGCACTGTGATGCTGAAAACCTGTGAAACACACACAAGAAAGACCCAAAATCAAAAAACAGAATCGACAAAGATTTGAACTGATAAGCAATATCGATAATGGCACTGGTATCAATAAAATCTTATCAATTCCCATCACAACTGAGCACCAGGTGACTCTGCAGCACAAATAAGAGACAGTCTAGAGAGACTGTTGATTTCAGTCACTACCAAACAAGTCCACAGCTGGCCATGACACAAAAAGTAAGACATCACAGATGTGACGACTCTGCTCCATTCGCGCTATCAGTGTTTCTAATAACTGCTTGCTCTAAATAAAAGTGAGCAGCATGGCAGGCCATCCGTTTGTTGAGGAGGTGGGAGGACAGGGTGCCGTCCTGGATGGTAGTGTCTTTAAAGGACACTTCTGCATCGGGCAGATCATCAGGCAGTCCTGGATCCCTCGACGGGGGCCTCCACAGCTTGGGGTGGAAGCAACAGTAGTAAAGGGATTTGAAAAACAGTCCCAGGAGGTAGATGAAAGGTAGAGCAATGAGCAGAGCGAGGGCGTACGACTCAGTCTGGACAGGGTCCCTGTAAAACCACCAAGTCGCCAGCAGGATTCCTCCATCAGTGGTGATGAAAGAATGGTAGATGATGCTCCTGCCTCTGGTCTGACCCTCTGCTACGTTAAACCAGCTGAAGTACCAAATAAGCCCTACGGTGGCCCGGTAGAGCCACTCACCCCCGGTGCTGTCCATGAAGTCTGTCCCCTGTCGCCAGGCCCACGTCACAAAGACAGGCCACAACATCAGAAAGTGGATAGCAATATACCAGGACAGGACTGAGGCAAAGAGGGCGAGGGCCGCAACACGCGGGGCGATGAGCAGCAGGTTCCACAGGAAGTAGATTAAAGAGGAACACCAGCCCTGCTTGGCCTTGTCTGGGAGGAAGGAGCGCAGAGAGCGGTGGTAATCCACCACCATCCAGGCTATGGAAGTAGTTGATGCAGCAATGCTAACAACTGCAAAAAACAGAAGATAAACCTTGAGTTAGCAACCAAGAGGAAGTGAACACACATTTGTTGTGTTTGTTGACTTACCACAACCCAGAAAGAGTATTTTTACAACCTAAGCTAGATCACTAACTTTGACTCACACATCATAACATGAACACCTGAACTTCACCTCTCCTATTATAATAACATGTATATAATATACACAAAATAATATCCTCAGCTGTAAGAGTTTGCTTTTTTGTGGGATGGAAGTAAATCAAACTGAAGAGAACTCACACTGAACCGTCCTGGCTTTGTTTGTGTGCAGCATGACGTAGATCATCAGGGTGAGCTGAGGAGCACTCTCACAGAACGTCTCGATAAGCCGGAGCATGCTGAGGTCATGTGTCAGGTAAACGGCGTACTCTGACCCTTCCTCTTTCCGCCACCACACCCTGAAGCCTTGTCGTATGGCAAAGATGTGCCTATGTGGATGAATATATATCAGAGAAGGGCTGTTAGAGTGTGTGACACATAGATGGTGAGAAAAGGGCATCACATACCAAACTCATGCAACTACATGTACTCATTTAAGGGTGAATAGAAGCAGTCTGGCATGATGCATCAAGTGTCTTCAACAGCACTGACTCATATTTTGAGCTCTTCATTCCTCATTAACTCACTATTGGTGCATTTTAAGCATTCAGCTCTCTTCTGAGACACTGGTTTTACTAGCTGACACACCTGACATTTTCATTCATGGTCACAGCACCTGTCAAATGTTATTACCTACCTGCTTGCCTGAACTTCAGAGAAACACTCCTGCAACAAATGTGTTTGTGTCTGGGGAGCATGATTCCAGTTTGGTCAAGATTTAAGTGTGTTTGCATCACACATGCAGGGCGTCTGATTTCATGTAACCTGCTGCTGAAACACTTCATACATACTGAGTAACCACCATCAGTCAGACTATAGTCACTACTAAATAGGTGTAAGCTGTTCAATTCCATATACAGTGTATACACAAACAAACAGTTGAAGTTTTAACCAGCCAACCCAGTGATTAGCAGGAATAACTCTGAGTTATTTTAACACTAAATGGATTTAATACCAGACAAATACTGGTAAAATATGTAAGTAGCTGCTAGATTTGCTTTACTCACCAACAAAGCAAAAAAAATGTAATTTTTGGAGTTCACCAGACACAGTGGCAGGTAGAGTTAGTTAATTTCCAGTCACTTGTTCCTCGGTATTTCCATTTTATGCTACTTTTACTTAGAGGCACATATTTGTTTTTTCTTCACTACATTTATTTGACAGCTTTACTTACTGGTTACACTGCAGATTCAGATTATCAGTACAAACCATAAATTAAGTGATAAATTATGATGTAACACTATAGACTGGGATGCCTGCCAGTCTATGAATTAATGAAAAGTAGCCCAAACTTTACCAGCTGCAACATAAATGCATCAATAACTATAATCCAGTGATATAAAAAACATATATTATTATTAAATGGACTAAAACTGCTTATAATACTTCTGTACATTTGCTTAAGTAACAATGGAATACTTTCATACTACAGTATTTCTACTTTTATTAAGTAAAGGATATGAGTTGTTCTTCCACCACTGACCCTACCTGCAGAGGAAGCCCAGCTGCAGCACATGCAGCACGCAGGACAGCTTGACTCGGTCCCCGAACAGGACGGTTCCTCCCTCGGTCTGAACGCTGAACCCCGGCAGCTCTCGGTCATACTTGAACCAGAACCAACTGAACATCTGGACCACGATAGACGACAGCACCATGAGGCCGACCAGCACCCCGAACCAGAACAGGTCCCCGCGGCAGTAAAACTCGGTGGCCACCCACACGTCCGAGCCCCAGTCCACCAGGAAGGTACATACTCCGACCACAGAGAAGACGAAGTCGATCCACGAGTACTTTGAAAAAGTCGCGCGCTCCATCACCATGTTTTGTCACCGACCTGTTGCTGCTGGTAAGCTAACAGTCGGCTAACGTCCTGTACCGTTATTTCCCTCCCAAAGCGACTTCACATTCTTCAACCCATTGAAAACAAAAGTTGCAAACTCTTAAATATCTAAGCGACAAATTGAACTCAGTCAAAGAGCGCACATTAAAACGTTGAAGGCATTATTTCAGAAAGACAACTGTGTACAGAAAGTAACCGGTACAAGGAGAGCAGCTGGTGTGTTTGTAATGATGCCTGTCTGGGTAGTTATTAGCCCCGCCCACCGCGGCTCATATGTGTAGAGGCAGGTCATACAGTCCGGGATGTAAAGGTTTTAACTTTTAAAGGCCACATACGGTTAGTCGATTAATTGTATCGTCTTTTTTAACTTTATTTTTATTAGTGCTTTCAGGTTGAAGGAAAAAGAAGAAAAGAAAGAAAACACATAAACAGGGTTTGGGGAATAGAGGTTGGTAGGAACCACACAATGGTACAGAACAGTCAATAGGTTACATCCCTAGTGTATATGGTCCATTTTTCCAATATCTTATGTATTGGTCAAATCGTAGTCTTAAAGAAAAAGTAAGTTTCTCCATCCAGTGGATTTCGTTATTGCAATCCAGTTGTCCTTTAAAGGGGCGCTTGCCTGTAGCCATCTCAGTGTAATGGCTTTCTTGCTCGGCCAAAAGTACTTCGTAAAGGTATTTGTCCTGGGTCATGCGATTGTGCGTGGTTTTGCCCAAGTACAATATGACAAAAGAACAGTCAACTTCTGTTCCAAAGATGTTCCTCATGTCTTTGCCAATCTCTTGCCAATATGGATAAATAATTGGACGTCTCCAAAAAATATGAAAGTGGTCCGCCACTGATTTACCACACAGCCTCCAGCATTCATCCTGTCCCTGGTATCCCTGTTGTAGAAATTTCAGTTCTGGAGTCATAAAATATGGTGTTATGTTTTTCCAGCAGAACTCTCGCCAGGATCTTGACTTGGTGGTCCTAGTTTGTCCCTCCCAGATATCATCCCAATCATTCTCTGATAACTCCAGGCCTGATTCCCTCTCCCATTTTTGTTTGACCCGGGTAGTGGAATCATTTTTGGAATTTTGTAATCTATTATATATATTCGTAAGATAAGATGCCTGTTGTCTTTTGTCTTATATACATCAGTGAATATATTAATCAAATTGGGTTCACTGTCCTCTGTTTGTGTAAGTTCTTTATTGAAGTAATCTCTGACCTGGAGATATATATAAAATAAATAAATAAAAAAATTCCAATGCCTAAACCGTATTTTTGTCTTTTGGTTTTTGCAGTGGCCTACTTGTCTTTATTGTTGATGTCATTTTATCTCAATATGTTTGGTATGCAATTATACACCAAAGCAAATCTGCGTGTGTGAAACGGACAAATTGTGTTATTGTTATCACTTATTTTCTTATTTTATTATTTTTACTATTAATTTTCAGTTGATTGATTAATCTTTTCATCACCTCAGCACTGATCCCGTGATTTTGCCTTTAAATAACGGAGCCACCTGAGAGACTAAACCCAGGCCAGCACAACACACTAACATGGAGGACACGCCCACTGTAGCCTCGACCTATTGTATCAAAGGAGCGCGTGTATGTATCTTTGCAGCCTCGCGCCTTGTCTGAGTGTTGCTGTGTGTGCTCGGTCGGTTTTAGCTGGAGCCCACATTTTGCTAGCTTAGCGCACACAAGCTACCAAGATGTCGAGAGTGTACATCGGGAGATTGAGCTACAGGGCCAGAGAAAAGGACGTGGAGAGGTTCTTCAAAGGCTACGGGAAGATACTCGAAGTCGACCTGAAAAATGGGTAACGTCGAAGCTACTTGTCGATGTCCGCTGTTGTTTGAAGCCGGATGCACAGGCCGCACTGTGAAGATAACGCGCAGCGTGGGCCTCGTTGCTCGGCCTGCTAATTCTAGCTAGCTAGATTAGCGTGTTTAACATTTTCCAAAGAAACCAGTTGATAATGTGATCTTCAGTGCTGGCACAGTTTTGCAAAAGTGGTTCTGTTTATCGATGCAGTATTAATAACAATTGGTGTTTGCAGGCTTTGTCTAACGGTTGCGCTACCTCGACTAGCTAGCTAGCTCAGGTTAGACGTGGCAATGTCACAGGCGGCTGTATGAAAGCAAACCACGGGCCAAACAAGCGCAAGTTCTGTTGCTACAAGATTTATTACCACACATGTGCAGCAGGTTCAGTTACGCACATTGCCTTCTGGTTATCTTCTACGTGTTATTAGACATGAAGCGGTTATTTAGCTATAAACCAATACTGGAGCTCGTCTCGTCTAGGTTACGTGCTGTTAGTTCCTCTGTTGGTGTCCGCGGCAGCAAACGGTCACTACTTTCGTTTTGAGTCTATCGTCTGGTCTGCAAAATGTGCGAAAATGATGTCCTTTACATTTTCACAAAACCTAAAGTGGACGTATAGAAGCAGCTTGTAATTTTCTCTCTTCCGTCTTTTTTATAGTGATCAATATCAGTGTTTGCATCATACAGAACCATCGTATAAATATTGGCATATCCACGTTACGCAACTTTTGAATATCATTTTTGGCTGAAAAGGGAACTGATTGTTCCACAAAGTGTGTGAAACTCGACCACTCTACCACTCCACAAAGCCCAGGGTGAACAAGTTCAAGCTGCGTGCTCTGTCTGTCCACTAGTCCAAAATAAAGATTGAGTTTACAATTGTATAAGACATGGAAAACCTTGTATATATTCATATGATGAAGTTGCTGGATAAATGTTCAAACATCACATTGCTAATTGAATAATCAACTAATCGTTTCATGTTATCATTATTCGTCGAGCATTATTAGTCTTGTACACATGCAACCCAGTTGAGCTTTACCTTGCCCTTGTGGCATTTATTTGACTCACAATAGTAATCATATTGTATTATGTAATGTTAGAAACTTCCCAATAGCTTATCATGTGAGCGAGATCTGTACAGTAGTACTGAAACCTGGATCCACTGCTGAAAAACACTGCTTTTGGAACTGTTGCATAGCTGTGGTCAGCATTTTGTTTCTCTGGCTATTGTGTTAACAATGCTATGGTGGGGGCCAGCTTGTGCATACCCGACCTCCACTATGTGTTCACATATAAACATCATAGCAATCCTTTGTTGGAAACCAGTGTTAAAACATGTCCTCTTCTTTTACAAAGGTATGGGTTTGTTGAATTTGATGACCCCCGTGATGCAGATGATGCTGTGTATGACTTGAACGGCAAGGAGTTGTGTGGGGAAAGGGTCATTGTGGAGCACACCAAGGGACCCCGCCGGGATGGAGGCTATGGTGGTGGCGGTGGCGGCGGTGGTGGTGGAAGAAGTAAGTGCTTAATAGGGAATTGTTTTTATTATTTATTTTCACATGAATGATGTCATTGATGAGGGGTTTCATTCATTACAGGGAACCATTAATCTAAATGATAAAAGGGCAAAAATTTAAGCGTGTCCTTGGTGGCTGATGTGCATACAGTTTACATCCTAATGTTTGCTTTAGAAATTTTAGGTTTGACACTCTGACAGAGGTCGATTGACTACGGCTTATACTTGTCAAACATTTGTTGCTGTAGGTGGTACCCTGAGCCGGGCGATGAGTTGAAAATGAGAATACTGAGATATTGAAAGAACATTGTCTTTTCTGAGCCATAAAAGTAATGGAATTTTAACCTTTCTGGTATTCTACTAAAAACCCGACAAAAAGTGCCGCCAGTCCAATGTAGATAAATATTAAATTGTCATAGAAATTTCAGCATTTCTATGGCTGCTTTTGAATATCAGTATCATCTGAGTTGCTGAAAAATGTAGAGGTCTGGAACCAGACCAACTGGTAGGAAATATTTAAGTTTCATTTTTTTCTGTATCACCCAGCTCTACTGGTACCTTATGTCTGACCCTTATAATGTAACGAATCTGCCCCCCTTTTAACTTGCACACTTTCGATGAAACTGTTGTTTTCATTTCAGTTTTTGTCCTTGAGCTGCACACACCCATCCACACCCCCTCATCTTAATTTCATCAGTATATTGCTATTGTTCTGGTTTCAGTGAGGCCTCCATGTTTGGATGGCCTGTTTAACATTAAGGCATGTCTTAGTTTCGGACCAGGCACTTTTGTTTTTAACTGTCATGCAAATAGATTAGCACGGGTGTACGAGCACCACTCAGCACTTTACAGTTTTTTTTTTCATCAACTGAACAGTAGGTGTTGGAGGAGATTTCCATATCACTACATGGCACGATTAAATCTATGTGCACAAGAGCCACCAATGACTTAAAAAATATTTTGAATGCAGTTACATGTGAATGTGTGATGGGGAAATGGCTTACTGGTGGAAAGGATATAAATGTCTTAATTTAAATACTGTAAAATAACCATTTTATTGTTAAATATCTTGTAATCTATTGATGTCTTATACCGTTTTTTTATTTTATTTAAAATGATTGTCAATTTAAAGGTAAAGATTTAACAAAGAACCTCAATGTTTTAATTGAAAGAGTCCTTTGCTGACTGCCTGCCCCTATTGCTGGCCATGGTGTCCCCCCTTTCCAAGAGTGTGGTTTGACCATTCTGGGCCCCTGGGCAGACCAAAAAAGGGAGCCATTGTGAATGAAGACCGCTTTTCCCATTAGGCCCAGGCCGGGTGGTGAGGATGCCATGGGGTTAGGAAGAGATGTGGGTTCAGCTCTTATAGGTGCCTGAAAAAAAGAACATGTTTTGTAACAGTGAAATGTTTTTAGATAGGATAGCTTAGAAACTTGCTTTAGTTCACCGTAAGTACTTCCTCGATCAGTTATGTTTTTGAATTTGATTTTTTTTCCTTCTAATCTAGAAGATAGGTTTATTGAATTTTGACCCAAATTTATTAAGCTACAGATGTGTTGTATAGGTTCAGGCTTTTAAATCAAGTTTTTAATTTGTAGAAAGATTTTTTTTAAGGATTTAAGGCTTTTTTTCTTTTTTCTTTTTGTAAGTCTTATTTTTTCACCTTTTGCTTTTTCCCTTTTTTTATTTCCTTTTCCCAAGTGAATATTTATATATTTTCTAGAATGTAGCTTGGAGTTTAGAATAAATGCACCATTCCCGTTTCTTTTCTGGTCCTCATTGCTCCTCTCCTTTCCTTGTTACCTTTAAAAGGTGGATATGGGCGCTGGGGAAGAGACAGATATGGTCCACCTATAAGAACAGATTATCGGCTCATTGTTGAGAATCTTTCCAGCCGCTGCAGTTGGCAGGACTTGAAGGTATGTAATGTGTTTTTTTTTTTGTTTTGTTTTTTTTTTGGTTGGTGTGTGTGTGTGTGTGTGTGTTTCTTGCAAAGCTTGTATTTTTAGGTCATCAGGAAGTGATGTCCAGAGCCAATAAGCAGTACACCAAAAGTGTTATCTCATTGATCTGCTCTCAAGTCCTTATCAACTTAGAATTTAGAAGTACAAACACACTGGAAGTTTCAGACCTGTATTACAGGATTGATGGACAATTAGTCAGAACAGTTGGATTTCCAAAACAGAAGTAAAAATAAATCATTACTGTGCATACTTCCAAGATTTCACCATTGAAAAATTAAAAGCAGAAGAAACGATGGCACACTTTTAGATTAGTATGCAAACACAAAACAGTGCACTGATGGCTGAATCACACCAGTGTCTGTCACCACTTCTTAGAGTTTTCTTTCAGCTGAGCAAAACAGTTGCATCGTCACTTTATTTCTGATTACTTTGTGTTTCTCTAAAGGACTACATGAGGCAGGCGGGGGAGGTGACTTACGCTGACACCCACAAGGGACGGAGGAATGAAGGGGTGATCGAGTTCAGGCTCTACTCGGACATGAAGAGGGCTCTGGAGAAGCTCGATGGCACTGAAGTGAATGGTAGAAAGATCCGGCTCATTGAGGACCGCCCCGGAGCCAGGCGCAGCAGACGCTCTTATTCCCGCAGTCGCAGCCGTTCCAGGTTAGACACGTTGCTGTAACTGCACATGGCTCTCTGGTGCACATTGATGTTTCTAAGCACAGCAGCAGAACATGAGGAAGTCTAGATGCACATCATAAAATGGCCTTACCATGTACCACATGTAGCGCTTGAAACATGGTTTGAAAGTGGGACATACAGTTGCAGATATGGATAAAGCATCATAACAATCACCACTGCAGTTTGCTAACTGTTACTATGTGTTTTCCCAGGTCCCGCTCCAGGAGCCGCAGGTCTCGCAAGAGCCATAGCCGCAGTGAGAGCAGCAGTCGCAGCCGCTCCCACTCCAGGTGAGAAATCAGAACTATTAGAAGACAATTTGTAAATACATGACATTTCTGCAGGGGGAGAGCCGCTAGTAAATGGTGAGATAAAGTAACTTGCTACTGAGTACAAACTGTGCATTTGATCTCCAAAAATCCACTGCATGCTACATCTAAAGCATTTCAGCAGCTGCCTATAAAATCCACGTTAAGATATTGGCACCTCATAACCAGTTAGTAGCAGTAATATGAGAGTGTATGTTTCTATAAAAAGATTTTTACAAGTCCATGAAAGTGCACAGGTGCATGCACTGGTGTACGTGTAGCCTGTAGCTGATGACAGCAAGTAGTAGTTTGATATCTACAGCTGTTTAATATGAGTAGGCCAAGGCTGCACAGCGTGGTCACTTCTCTGTCCGCTGAAGGTCCGTACGTGTCTCACGTGGTCTTCTCACTCCTCAGTGCAAGCCAAGGTTTGTATTAGTAGTAGATTGTATGCATTTGATCTGGCAAGCATGCTAAAGAACTCCACATGGTACCTACGGCCTGTCATCATCACCTACATGATCTGCACCTCGTGACACCTGTACATTGCTCTGTAGACGGACTCCTCTGTCCCTGCAACCTCTCTCTGTCTTATCCTCTCGTTAAACAATTTAAGCTTTCCCCAATCGAGCCAACCAGCACTGAGTTCTGCTTTTTAATTTTCCACAGAGCTGCGTCCCGCTCCCGCAGCCGATCTCGTAGCAAGAAGAATAAGGTCAAGGGCAAGAAGGAGGAAGAAGAGCGCAGCAACGGTGCTCAGAAGAACAAGGACCGCAGCAGGAGTCGCAGCCCCAAGAGCAAAAAAAGCAAGAAAGAGGGGAAGAAGAACAAGAAGGAAGACTCCAGGTCCAGATCTCGCTCTCGCTCCAGGTCTCGCTCAAGGTCAGGAATGAAGGATCGCTCCAGGAAATCTGGCTCAAAGGGCCGCGAGCCACCTAAGAGTGACGACGAGGGAGGTGAGCCTGAGAGGGGCTCCCGATCTCGTTCATGCTCCCCCGCTGAATCCAAATCCAGAGCCAGGTCTAAATCAAAGTCCAAATCACGCTCTCCCACACCCGCCAAAGCCCACTCCCGCTCCCGATCCGCCTCCCGCTCAGAGTCCCGCTCTAAATCCCGCTCCCAGTCTCGCTCTCGCTCCCGTTCCCGCTCTTAGTTCAGATTTTGGACTGTTTGTCTTGAGCCCTTTTCCCAGTGTCTCCCCCTGCCCTCCATTTACATTCCCCAGACCCCACAACACTACCCCTGCCTCCTGTTTTTTGATAAATAGTTGTAGAATACCAGGCACTCGTGCTCGATGTCTTTTATGCACACATTGTTCCATTTCATTTGACTTTTACTCGACATATTTTTTCATTAGAGCTGTCTCGTGTGGGGGTGTTTGTAAAATATCAGGGTGCAATCTCAGTTTTATAAGTTTAATTGATGGTAAGGTATGTGTCTTAGCCTTTTTTTAATCAAATGTAAAAGCATACTGTGGTGGGAATATGTTCTAACGTCTCCTCACCTTTTGTGAAATCCTTGTATCGTCTTATTTCGGATTAAAAGAAAATGCCTGTAATACATTTTGTCATTGGATTTATTTTATATTGTCAGTGAGAGGAGGTAGATATTAATTACAGGTTGTTGATAAATGATCGCTGATGACTTTCAGTATCAGCTTTTATCTGTATGGATTTATATTACTAAGTCTCCTAAAAGACGCCGCAGTTGAGGGCTGGATTGTAAAGCTTCTGAAAGGAGTACAGTCACACCAGAGCCCTTGTTGGAGCGGCACAATGGCTAACATTAGCTTCTGGGCCCAAAAAAAGTGTCTCTCTTGCATGCAGTGTTAGAGATATTTAACACTATGTTATCGTTAACCCCAGTTACCTTCTATAGTGCCCAGTATGTCAGATTTTCCTCATCAGTCTTGTTAAGTGGTGAGATGAAGTTATACATTCAGCTAAGCTGGAGAAGTGTAGTGTTTTTCTTTTTAGGTAATATCACAGTGGACATCACATTTTTTCACTCAAGGCATTCCACTGAATACAGTTAACTTACCCTGGGTGAGTGTTAATGTCGAGCCCTGTGACAGGAATAAAATGATTTGTGGACACAACGCTACCATGTAAGATGTACTCAGTGCACTGTGGCTGATTTAGTTCATCTAGGGAAAACGTGCAGATCATTTTCCCCTTATCCACCTATCAGTTGTTCCAAGAGTAGGTAGAATTTCAGTCAACCAGGATTTTCTTTAGTTATCCACAGTACTACAACAAAACATTTTACCACAATTAAACCATGGTTAAAATTTTAAATGAAACGTACAATTTAACAAACTGTCAAATAAAAACACAAGGCACTGGTGGTTGCTAGTTTTAGATTGTTTATTATAAAAGTGGCATTTTGCTTTTTCTGCCTGCTGGTCACTTTCAGCGCTGGCAATGAGATAAGGTAAGTGGTTTCCACAATGACACTGAACATATGTGCTGTTAATTCCTTCCAGTGAGCAACCTGTGCCCAAAACAGAAGTGTGACAACATCTCAATGTAAACAATCTTTCTATAGTGTATACCGAGTATAAAACAGTTAATTACAGATAAACAGTCACTTGAGGAAATGTAACCGCAGTCCATACGTGACGCTACATCCAGAGGTTTAACTTCTTAAATGGGACAGTCTGGATCTTTTGAAGTAAGATTATATGAGGTACTTAACCATGGTCAGTGTATTAAATGCAGTTAATGTCGGTCAGCATGTCCCTGTTTGGAGAAGCAGACAGAAGTACTAACTCGGAGCACAGGGGCAGCAACAAAAAGTAATTTAGCCAACTAAAAAAAAATCAAAATCGATTTAATTGTACGCCACATTTTGGAATATCTTCCCCTCTTAATCTTGTCAGTCAGCTTTTTCCAACGGGGAACTCAAGCCGTTATCTACGCTCTCCTCAAAGCCACCAGACTCTTGACAAAAACAGGAGCTGCTCGTCTACCAGTGCTTCGATCAGTTTGTTTTTGTGTGACTTTGGTATTTTGAAGGGTTAGTTCAGATTTACCAAAGTCACACAACACAAACAAACACATCGATCGAGGCAGCTGTAGACCAGCAGCTCCCAGGTTCTGTGAGTTAAAATGAGCCTGGCCAAATGCTGAAGTTCACCATTGGAGAGGACTGTATGATAAAGCAGTGAAAATATTCTAAATGTAGCATACACTTGAATTGATAAATTTTTTCGGGTGGCTAAAAGATGTTTAGCTGCTGCCCCCGTCCACAGCAGTTTGTCACTTAGCTTCCATGTCGCTACTTATGCCTGCTTCTCCAAATGGGGAATGCAGACCAACACCTACCGTAGATAACACCCTGACTACAGATAAGCACCTCAAACAGCCCCACTTTAAACCGTTTAATATTCCCTCACTTGTGTCTGTTTCAACTCATCACACACTTTTGACCTCTTTCTGTTTCCATGTAATTCAGTCCTGGTCCTTCACACATTAGAGCACAGCTCCTCTTCATCACTGTGTGTGTCTCTGAGCACATGCAGGCTGGCAAACAAAAGCAGACTGGCTCGTGCTAGTCAGGTTAGCAGCCTTCAGTCGATCCAGATCATTGCCCAAAAGACTGCCAGTGTCAGTCATCATCATCCTCTTCTGAGGAGGAGCGCATCACCCCACCGCTGTCATCACGGTAACACCGGGCCAGTAGGCGCAGCTGCTCCAATGCCTCCTGGTAGTCGGCCATTTCAGGCCCCTGGGAAAGGAAGCTGGGGGCCACGCGGCGAATGTCTAAAGCGCTGACACCACGGTGTAGCTCAGACAGCCACGAGCCGAGTGCAGGCCCAGAGTGGAGGGAGGTCATGACGGGTGCAGAGGAGACCACAGGGGGCGGAGCTGCAGAGATAGGGAAGAAGTTTTCTATAAAAGCACCTAATTTAATTTGTGGAAAAGTTTTCCTCCTACCTATAGGAACTTTTTTCTGTCTACTGAACTACACCTGCAAACCATATCACTGTGCAGAGGTTTTTTTTTAAGCTCCAAAAACAGTAAAGTGAAATAAAAGTAAGCTTACAGCCAGGCGGAGGAGGCTGGCTCTGCAGGAAACCCTGAGCATCGAGGGACTGACTGAATATCTGAGGGAAAGGTGGTGTCAGCTTACTGGGTGAAGACACCAACTGCAGAGCCCTGAGAGAGTGAACATGGGGAGAGAAGAGCAGTGTTTGATTGAAATATATTGTTTCCCTAATGATGATGATGATGATGATGTTAGTTAACAGCACGTGACAGTGTGGGGACTCACAGGGGAGCTGTAGGATAGAAAGATCTGATGTAGGAAGTCAGGACATCTTCCCCACTGTGGAGGCTGTGCAGAGGAGTGGGTGGTTGAGTCCCTGGAGCTAGAGAGCTGGTGAAAGGAAAATTATTTCAGCAACACACTAAAAAAGATTTCAGTTTTAATGTGATGATTGGGATGGTGTGTAATGCCTGTGTGTTTCTGCAAGCCATTTTCTTAACATTTGTCAAATTGGAGACAAAAGACTGCAACTTGAACTGACAAAAGCAGCCAAAAAAATGTACAAATCTCTTTTTCTAGCCACTAAAATATTACTACAGAAGATTTTAAGGTCATAAAAAATATTGCTTCACTATAAATATGCACCAATGCAACAGAAAAAAAATGTAAGAAATACAACTAATACAGTCTGTAGATTGTACAGTGATTTTTTTCCAACTAATTTCTGGCCTTTTTCATTTAAAGAAACCACATGATCTGGTGTGCAGATATATATAAGATGTTGTGTAAAAGCCTGACATCAGTGCTTACAACTGCTTTTCTCAACTTGTCTTGATATATAAATAAAGTTATGCTACTTTAAATAAAACATGCTCAGTGTTCTCACAGTTTTAGACACATTTCCTGTTTAAAATACATGAAAGCACTGTACATTACAAATGTATACATATTATTCTGACCTGATTAGCCTCTGGCCCTCGTAGCCTTTGAGTGCTGCCCACTGGCCATAACATCGACCGTCGCCGGGTTCAGGGCAAGCTGATAGAGGTTTCCAGGGCAACGCATCTGTGTAGGCTCTCAGGGCGTCGGGGAGAGAGCTGCCGTGCATCATGGGAAAGGGGACAGCACCATAAGCAGCCACCACCTAAAAAAAATGACACAAGTCAGCATAAACTCAGAGTCTCTACAGAGATGAGAACACAACAAAATGAATAGTTGGGCTGTTCAAGCAGCAGTAAGTCACCTTTCTCCCAGATACAGCGAGCGTGTCGGCCACCTGCCACATGGGGACGCTGTTGTTCTTCAGCCGGTAAGGCAGAGTGAGGGCGTCCAGGGCCAAAGCTAGCACAGAGCTGGAGTGATACCACAGTGAGGGCTGAGACACAGGACAGACAAGAGACAAACATTTCATTCAACAATGACAAGATTAGATATAATCATTTAATTCTTATCCACTTTTATAAATCCAAATATGTGGTTTAGTGTTGTGCTAGTTCATTGGTCAGAATTTACCTCCCTTTGTCATGTTTCTTTCAATTTATCTAAGGTATTTAATTTAAATATAACTAAAACAAAGTCAATTAAAAGTGTCAAAATAAGGTGTAAGAGGTCTTAGAATTTGAGTTAGTTTAATCACCATTAAACATGTCTTAAAAAGGCTAAAAAATGAGAAGTTATTTTAAAAAAGGAAATTAAGGCTCACATCATAGGTTAGGTAGGGGAATGCTATGGGAGCAGAGGGTCGTCTGCCCAGTCCACCACGCAGGGTCAACGGGCAGAAGAAAGAGCTGTGACTGGCCATGTGGACTGTCCCTAATGTGCAGTTCAACATGTGGTAGAGGTCTTTCATTGGAGTCTGGTTAAAAAAGAAGAATACAGTAAGCACAGATGCCCATTTTCCAAAAAATACATTCTTACAAAACACTGAGATAGAAATGAGATGCTGAGTTTGTGACTCACTGAATTTGGGTGACTGACAGGCGCTAACCCCCAGGTTAGGATGCCTCTCCCGCCATAGGAGTCCTGCAGCAGCTCTGTGACCTTTGACCCCAGGCCGGCAAAGCCATCAGCCAGGTCACACAACACCTGGAAACCCTGAGAGAGAGAGAGAAACAGGATGAAAAACATCAGCAACTGGATTAAATGAAAATTGGAAAATGGAAACTATAACCTCAATACCTGAAGGTAATCACACTCCTCTACAAAGAAGTGTAGTTTGTCCTCCAGCTCCTCGAGCACCGCCCCCTGCAGGAGAGCTTCTCCCTGGCCGTAAGCCTCCAGACGGTGAGCCTCCCTGGACAACCATGAATACAAATATAAAACTGTGCTACACAAGCAACATGTTTAAAAAGGAAGGAAACGGGTATGTTGCACTTATGGAAACACCCCAGATATTTAATGTTTTTATCAGTTGTGAAAGGGTCAGAAGACACTGTCAGGAGGTGCTACAAACTTTAAAGATTCAGCCAACAAAGAGCAGACAGTGATTCAGTGTTTAAGCCCAAATCTGTGTAAAGCCTGACATCTACTGGAGAAAATAAGGTACTACATGAGCCAGATGTACCAGATGATCCACTATTGGGGACAAAAATGTGATTCAGTAATTCACTCATTTTGTTCAACAAAGTGTCGGAATTCTGACGCTGCCCTTTACCCGTCATGGTTGTACTGGTGGATGACAGAGATGGTGCGAGGATGCAGGTGAATCCTGAGGAAGTCGGACCACACCTTCACGCTGCCCTCCAGTCTGTAGCCCCTTTGGACCCGAGCCAGCTGACTGTTCACAGTGTCCACGCTCACTGCACCTGCTGGTGGGAGAGTTCTCAGAGTGGTCACTGCTGCGTTCAACACTAAATCTTATTTCTCATGCAGAGTGTAAAAGGTTTTATTCACCTGAGCATTGAGGCTGGGAACTGGAATAAAAATCAGCTTCGGCCAGGATCTCCCCTCTCTGGGAAAAATTACAACAACAAAAAAGAAAGAAACAAATGCAGCTGAGACCTTTGTACCCAAGAAACATTTATAAATGAGGCTTCCAAGCAGTGTGTGGCCTGTTTGGAAGCCTACAGTAATCCTACAGGAAGTAGTGGTGGTGATGTTTTGATTCCTATGAAAATATGTAATATGTTATCACTGAGCTGCTTGCCAGTTTTATTTCCACCATAAATACTCACATCCAACTTGTCCAGATCTTCAAGAAAGGAGTTCTTCTCCGGAGGACTTTCTTTGTGCATCATGAGATTTCCCTCCCTGCCACATGGAGCACATTTTTTACATCAAAAAGAGAAACCAAGAGTCTTTATTTGGACTATACTAGTTAGAAAATCTTTATGAAGAAAATGAGCTTTGTTGGCTCTGACACATGCACCAACATAGGTTTCAGTCATTGTATAAAAAACTCTCTCAGTAAGTGAGTACTGTTAAAGATTGTTGTTGCTGAGCTTAAAGTATTTAACGACACCAAAACAAGTGTGTAACAGAAGGTGTCAAACAAACAACAGAATGTTTAAAGGTGCAATAATCCACCAGTGATGCTCTGGACTTATAAAGACAACAAAATCTGTTGGGCCCAAAAATCTGTCAACAGATGCAGAGACTTTTATTTACCATGTGACAGCAGTTGTGTCTTTGCCAGACTCGTACAGACTTCCCTCCTGCCGTAGAGTCCGAAGACTTCCTGTTATAGACAGATAGTGACAGGCAGGTGATTCAGCTTCATACACATCCAAGTTACCACATGAATCTGTTTCCATTCAAGATGAAACCTTTTATAGAATCATTACACTAGGACACACAATCAGAAACATTTAAAACAAATCACCAAGAAAATAAAGTTGCCCAGCACAGTTCGTTAAAGATCGCAGCACACACAGATACAGCGGCTTTATGCTCCTGTGAATGGTGACTCTTGAATCTCGAGGATGTTTTCAGCATTAATAAAAACATGAGACAGGAGGAAGTTACCTTTGAGATCCATGGCAATGAGGCGAGGTGTGTGGGTGACATGTCCGCCCAGAGTCTGTCCCTCACGAAACACGACATCACTCTGGATCTCACCCTGTGGCGTCTCTGGATCATATGATAGAGATGCATCCTGCAAACAAACACAAGCCCATCATCATTTATCTGCTGCAGACTATGACACTAAAATGACCACAAATACCACAATATATTCAGCTCCATCTGGGAAGAAATCAAAGTGAGATATCACCATCAGGGAGTTGGTTGGAAATGTGTCTGTGAAGATTCTCAGTCATCCAGGTCATGGTAGTCATAAGTGCTATATTTACTGCTGTAGATGTTTAAGGTTGTGCTGGTTTTGACTCCTTTATGTACAATTGGGGAGTTTAAGCTACAGCAATTCATCATATTCTGTAAGTTCATTATATGTTTGTAGCTTGGCTGTCCTGTGAGAACCATGTATCTTTAAACAGACAACTTTTCTTGTTCTCAGCTTTGTGACGATGCATTTTCCAGCTGACCCATGAGGGTGTTTACAGAGTTTATTTAGCTTAAGATGTAGGAGATTTTTGTCATCACCTAAAGGAACATTTTATCCTTCAGTTTATCACAAACAGTCACATCTGGATTTTACATGGTTTTCACTGGACAGGACAGGTATTAAGAATTGTAACATGTTAAGTAACTGAAGCCGTCAGACAAATGTAGTGTGTCCAATATTTCCCTCTGATATGCAGAGGTATAGAAGTATGAAGCTGCATAAAATGGAAATGCTCAAAATTGTACAGTAGCCTACTTGAATAAATGTTCTTCCACCGCTGATTAACAACAGCTACCTTTACATGTCAGCATCTGCTGGATGCAGGAGGGTCAACGATGACGTATCTCAACATCCCCATCATTTAAACTGTGGGTAATTCATACAGTTTTTATGTAATCATTTTCAGTTGTTATGTAAAGTCATTAATCTGTGTCTTCTACGCGAGCATCACTTATTTCCGTCTAAAACATAAGATTATCTGATCACAAATAAACTGCTGATTGAGGCTTGATAATTAGCAGCTTTAGCTTCATAAAGCCTGGTGGATAACCTTATCTTTGTGTACCAGCTCAGTTATATTACATGTTCTGCATGGTCTGATAATAAGACCACAATATGCACATTCACGGTGGTGCTAACATTAGCTGCCTCTGCGGCTCACAGACAGACAGGCTGTACTCTCCAAAGTTTGACAACACATGCAAAGCTAACGCTAAAGCTAGCTTAGCTTAGCGTGTGTCGCTTACCTGTAAATTCCACCAGTGAGTCCCAACAAAGTTTGAATAATGTCCCAGCTGGAGAGTGATGACTTCTCTACAAAAGTTACTCATCGTGACGGAAATTAACAATCAAGATAAAATATAAAATCATCTGCAGTGCACATGATGAACATGTTTGGGATTGACAACACCGAACAGCGACAACCTAACTCATGCGCTGCCGCACATAAAGGAGCTTCTGTGATTGGCTGAGAGGAGTGTATAAAGAAATGTGATTGGATGTACCAATGACGTTTGTGCAAGTCTGGTTCCACCGTGCCGTAGCTTCACGTGCGGTCTCCACAAACTGGTTCTCTCAACTATGATTATAAAGTTTTATTGAAAAATCAATATATAAACGAAATAAAAATTATTGAATAATTATTTATATAAAGTGAATTTAATGAATTACATTTGTTTTACTATGATATATTTATTTTATATATAACAATATATACAAATTATTATTAAATAATAATAGTAGTTTTGTTTGATGTAACGGTTACGGTTTTATGTGCATTCTTAAATTAAAATATTAAGGTCCAAATAATCAGCAAATGTATTAATTTTCTTGAAGATAAGCTATTATGTAATTCATAAGAAAAACAATAAAGTTTTATCCAAAAACAAAGATTTATTTTGTGCGGATTTACTGACATAAGCCACATTACATTTACTTTGATAAGACGAACAGAAACATATGAATCAGAATCAGCTTTATAGCCAAGTAGATTTGCACACACAAGGAATTTGCTCTGGTGTTTTGGCGCAGTAGAAAATAAAAATAAAGCACTGTAAAGTCAAGAAGCATAACAAATAGGACAGAAAATCTATGATGAAAATATATATAATATATAATAGGTGAAAAACTAATGCACATGTACAAATGTAGATTTCTGTAATGACCCAGGTGTCTGTGTAAATAAAATCTCAATTTCAATGATATCCCAGTAAATACTGACATTTTTTAATAACTGTGCCCTTGATTTGTTATGTGCACTGCTGTCCCCAACTCAGATCATAACCAGAAAATCTACTGATTAAAAGTAGCATGTGCACAGAGCATAATAAGTGAGCAGGAAGTCAGCTCAAATCCTTGGGCAATATGTACAGATGTATGTGTAATAACTTGCTTTACACTGAGCTCAAAATGCAGCCAAGCGAAACACAAATTCACTTAAGTAGTTTCAGTCTTAAAAATTACCATAGTACATTGTATGACAGGAAGGAGGCAGCAGATTTCACAGCAAACTTGTCATGTGCGCTGTGTGAGCACATGGACATGTTGGCATCTAAATAACAAAATGATGATATTGTTATAGCATCTTCATAATTATTGTAATGGCATACATTTTCAGTCTGCAGGGAAAAAAAACAATGCCAGTGGAGTGTGTGTTCATTTAACTTATTTATACAAAAGGACTTCAGACAAATGTGTACATGAGGATATTATTGATGACCACTGATTTTCAACACACATGTGAGCAGCTGATTTTGTTGAAGGGCCTTTAGTGACACTGAGACATTTAAACTGAGGTGGACATGGTAAAAAAAAACCCTCAGTATTTTTGTTTATCAATCTTTTAAAACAGTTTCTGGAGGTGGTTTTGGGACTGGGGGTGATAAACAGATGGTACACACTGTTTGATTACAGAGTTTACATTTTATCACTGAAAAGCAGAGACTAAAGGCTGAAACCAGTTCTTCAGCTCCTCCATCTTCTCCTCCAAGGTGGTGCGCAGGTCTTCAGCGGTTTTCTCGAAGCGCACCTTGATATCCTCGGCTGTGGCCTGAATCTTCTCCTTCATGTTCTCCGTCTGCGACCTCAGCAGATCATTCAGGGTGGTGATCTTTGCCTGAGCGTTGTCACGCACCTGAGCAAAGTATGGGTCCAAGCGTGTCTTCATGTCCTCCATGTTGCTCGAGCTGCGGGTCTGAAGCTCATCAAAGAAGTCAGAAACTTTTCTGAGAAAAGAAAATAAGAATAAAAAAGTTGATTTATCATATTGCTTCAGCATTTATTATGTTGCGAAGAAATTGCTATTGTACACTGTATAATTGCAGCGTTGGAGGCAGAATTCAGATTCTTTACTTAAGTAAATGCAGTGGTAGAATGTAAACATGTATATTTACTCTTGACTGTACTGAAGTAGAGTTTAGAGGAACTTGTTCTTTACTGGAGTATTTCCATTTTACGCTGCTTTATACATCTACTCCTCTTAAATTCAGAGGTAAATATTGAACCTTTTACTCCACTACATTTATCTGACAGCTTTAGTTACTTTGCAGATGCAGATTATTATTACAAAATAAAAACACTTAATAAATTATGATGCATCTATGAGTAAATGTAATACTACCACAGTGTAGAAATACAAGGAAAAGAGTCAGACTCTAGTCACACATTTAATGACTTCAATCAAAAAAGACTTGTAACTCAACTTGGACTCTGACACCGATGGCTTTTGACTTAACTTGGACTTGAGCCTTCTGACTTGAAAAAACTTGATACCTTCACCCAAGTCCAAAGATTTATATAAGTATATAACTTAAAAGTATGCCATGATTCAATTTATTTCCCTTCATTTTCTGAATCAACATACATTAACACTATTCATTCCCAGCAAGTCAACACAAAATTCATCAGATCCACTTTGATTGAACTGATCAGCAGCATCCAGTCAAGTTGCAAGTGAGAACCCTGAAGAGCTAATGTTATGTCACTGAGTGCCAGTTGATAAAAATGATACTGATGATAATTTTGTCTGCATACAAAAACTATGTCGTGGCCAACAAAAAAAATACATTGCAGTAGGCAAAACATGCAGGTTGAAAATTACAGACAGAGATGCAGCAGCTTCCAGTTTCATATGACATATGAAGTTGAACTTACAGCCAGTTGAGGCTATTGTAATACTGTAAGGGAAGTAATGCTAAGCTAACAGTAGCTAACAGCTAACTAACTTTTTTTTTTACAAATTTTAAAAAGTATTCACGATTTTTGTAAATATAATATATTATTACTCTGTTGTTAAAATGGTATTACATTTGGTGAAGAGCACATGATGACTTGTTTTGAACTGGTTTAGGACTTGGGACTTGTCAGTCTTGACTTGGGCTGTGAATGCAAACACTAGACAGTAATATGTGACTTGCAAAAAATGACACAGTCCCACCTCTGGTAACTAAAGCTGTCAATAAATGTAGTGGAGTAAAGAGTACAATATTTACCTCTGAAATGTAGTGAAGTAGAAGTATGAAGTAGCATAAGATGGAAATACTAGAGTAAAGTACAAGTGCTTTAAAATTGTTCTCAAGTACAATGTGCTTAGTTCCATTACCCCACTGGAAGTACAGTATATGTATGTACTATATAAAATAGTTGATAGTTAATTTTCTGTTGATCAGCTTATCAATTAATTGACCAATCGTTGCAGCTCTAGATTGCTCAGTCCAGTTTATATCACCAGATGAATCCACTCATGATCAATACTGCTCTCCGAAAACATAGTATATTAAACAAACTGCAGGATGGTTAAAACATGACTTAGTATTAAAATAAAGATTAGTACAAAGTATCTTAGGAGACATCTGCAAAATGAAACTGTTCAAAAAATAAAACAGTTTAAAGTTTTTATAAGTTTAGTTGGTAAAACGCAGAGAATCTATCAGAGCCTCTTACTGGACAGAGTTCCCCATCAGCCTCCAGTGAACGCCTCCCCGCTCTCACTCACCTCTTGATCTCCTGTGTGTCCTTGTTCATGCGTTTCTTCAGCTTGCGTGTGTAGGCGGAGACCCTGACCTTGACGTCATCAGCATTCTGCTCCATCATGGTCTGCAGTTCCACGGCGTACTTCTCCGCCTGCTCCCTGGCCTCGCTCATGTGATCACCCAGTTTGTCGAACAGCTTCTGCAGGTCTCTGCCCAGATTCTCTGCAGCCTCCTGAGTGTAGGGGACCACCTTGGTCTGCAGGTTATCCCTGTATACGGCCAGCTCGGCCATGGTGTCCTGGATCAAGGTGCTGTTTGGGGGGACGAGACAGATGAGTTAAGGGATTTTGTGGCTGTTTTTTTTGGTGGAGTAGTTTGGATCCAATGGGGTCAAGACTGCAGTCCACATAAGTTATCAGAAATGTGGACTTGAGGCCAAAGTGCACTGCAGGTCTTCGTCAGCAGCTCTTTCAGTGTCTCACCTCACTGACACATGCTGAGTAACCTCCTCACACTCAGTTGAGGGCAGAATGTGTGTTGTGTAACCAAAATAACATTGTGTCGATGCTTTTTTACCTCAGTGCAACATACTTGAAACAGTCTGACAAGAACACTTAGACCCAGATAACAACTGGATTGTTCCAGTTACAGTGTAACCAGCGCTGGAGGAAGTGTTGTAGATCATTTACTCAAATAAAAGCAGCAATATCACAATGTAAAAGTACTCCATTACAAGTAAAAGCTCTGCATTAAAAATATTACACAAGTAAACAAACAGAAGCACATAGTATCCATCTTTAATTATCATATATTGATTATTATTGCTGATGCATACCTACGTAAGCAGCATTTTAATGTTGCAGTGGGTCATTTTATCTGCTCGAGACTGTACAGTGATGGATTGTTCGGTTATAAACTCATCACCAAATTCATATGTGAAATATTAATATGCAAAGTACCTGGTAACAACAGCTGTCAGACAGATGTAGTAAAGTTTAAAGTAGCAGTAAATTGAAATGTGATTGTGTTTTACTCTGGGTGGGGACCAGTTTACCTCTAGTCACACACCAGGTAGCGAGAGTGAGTGCAGTGATTCTTCTTCTACTGTGTTAGACTAACTTTAAAACGTATCACTGGGCAGGTGGTGCAGATTAAATCATTAATAACATTATGCAAATGTATTGCACAAAGTATTTATCATATACACATTGAAGGTAAGATAAATTAACTCACTCCAGTTCTCGGCCGATCTGGGAGCCCTTGATGTCTGTCACCATTGCGTCGGCCTTTGTGTTCAGATCCTCGAAATAATCATTGAATTTGTCGACTGTGACTTCCCAGGGGTTCTTCCAGTCAGTCTGAGGAACACTTCTGGCATGGCAGCCTGTGTGTTTTGACAGAGACAAAGTCATATATTCACTTTTTAAATCATTCAGATGGGAAATAAAAGAAGATGGAAGAAATGTTGCATTGGACTTGATTAAACATCTTTGAATCAGTGCCTGGAAAGTGTAACAAGTGTCATTTCATTTAAGGATTTCTTTTGATCGTTGGAGGATAATCAGCCACTTTATAAAATCTGGGACCCTTATTTGGACACTGAAGAAGCCCAAAGACTGATTTCAGACCTGTGGAAACCACTTAAGACCCTTAAAAAGGACCTGCTCACGTGTTCAGACACAATGTGTGAATCATATGTTGCTTCAAAAATTAAGGCTGGAGCACTGAAGATTAATAAAATAAAAAACTTTCTTTCTTTCTTTCTTTCTTTCTTTCTTTCTTTCTTTCCCTTTTTTTGTCTTGTCTCCTTTCCTTCCTTCTTTTACTTGAGAAGCTTTTCATGCACAAACTTATCAGCGTTCGGCAGTTTGCCATCAGGAAATGCATCTTCTATGCAGTTTCTAGTTTCCCCTTATACGTGTAATTCTTCTTTAAAATGTATATATATATATATTTATATATTTCTTCTAAGCAAATTAAAATCCAACAAAAAATTTTTTTTTGAGTCCCCAAAATAATTTTTGAACTCACCTGAGAGGACAGCCAGCACAAGGATTGCTGCAAAGACCCTCATGATGACCTGAAACATCATATAATAAACAGAATAAACAGGTTAAAATGGTCCCAGCACTGACACACAAGTTTTAGTAAATTCAGCTGTTAAAAAGCTAAAATTCAAAAAGACATTTTTATTAGAATGAATCAATAATATGACTGTTATCCCCAGATTTCTTACCAAACTCTCTATACATTTAGTTTAAATCAACACAAACTTTTAAACAAATTTTTAGAGACACGTCAAACACCTTGATTCAAACACTGTGAGACCAGCTGTTAGTAAAGATGTGTGGGAGTGATCTGAGACTTACCTCAGTGATCTGATCTGTGACGTCTCTGAGACTGACTGAGCTTGTCACTCAGTATTTATGCACTTTAGGTGGCTTTGATGCAATCCAATAAATGTCAGGAGGATTGCCGACCTCTGTCCAAAGTTCCAAGTGTGACCTGCGTCGTTGTCATCTTTTATTGCTGTGTGTGTGTTATTTTGGCTCCACGTCGCACACTGAAAGTACACATGCAGGCACAGGTCAAAAATTAGGAACAACCAAAATATCTGTCATCAGTTTGCAAGAGGTCAAGGCCTCTGGATCAGCAGTGGGATAGTGTGAGTTCAGTACTAACTGTTTGTGCCTTATATAAAATGTAGTGTGCAAAAAAAAAAAAATGTCACTGCGCCAACAGATAATCAGAAAGACTGTCCTTGTTTATCAAATCCACAATCCTAGTGATAGCAGTGACAAGGCCAAAGGTCATTCTTGTATCATATCATTGTCCAGCTGATCTGGTTCATAGTCCGCTTTAACAACCACTGCCTGCATTTATACAACGTTTATAAGATGGGAAAACTTCCAATAAACTACCCTTCACACAGCTGAAGTTAATCAATCAATAACTTTATTGTCTGTGGGTGTGGAAGTGTGCTTCTGGCCTGAATGTTGCTAGAAGTATAAACAGATTTGAGGCGTTAAATACATTAACAACCATCAGAAGATTTGTGGGCAACATATGAGTGCTATCAGTGGGTGGACAAACTACGGCCCGAGGCCTAACTGCGGCCCGCTGCCTGTTTTGTGATGGCCAGCTGCAAATTTTTAAAAACAGACTTGAACGTGGTTGAGCATTTTTCTAGTAAATTGCACTGTGTGTACATCACAAAGCCTAGTTTAAACACAATGTCCTTGTCATCTTGAATAACTAGGATGCAACTAGGAAGCTCTGCCATTGCACTTTTTAATTTGAACACTAGATGCCGCTACTTCACCTGCAACAATTGATTACAAGTCGATTTATATTTACCTCAGTAAACCTCAGTAAGACCTGTAAAGATAGAGGATAGAGAAATATTTTTTGTAGTATATTGGCACATGACTGAACCACTGTAATGTCCAGCATTAAACTGGTATTTTGAGACAGAAGGTATTTACTATGGCAAATGGCCTTTTCTGGTCTAAAAGCACAGACTTTATTGCCATGTAACTGGTTAAAAACTATGCATTTACCAATGTTTGGCATGTCACTTTTATATATATTCTTTTATACAGCCTACAGTCCAAAAAGTTCTCTGCTATAAAGGGTGGCGGGTAAGCTGGAGCAAATCCCAGCTGACACTAGGCAGACAACAATTCACATTCACACCTTCGGGCAATTTAGAGTCAACAATTAACCTAACTAGGCATGTCTTTGGACTGCTGAAGGAACAAGGATGCTAACATGGTGAGAACATGCAAACTTCGCACAGAGGGAACCAAGCTGGCGTTTGAACCCGGAAACCTTCTGCTGTGAGGTGATGGTGCTTGCTAACCACTGCACTGCAATGCCACCCTATTATCTTCACAAAATCCTGTTCTCAGACTCTCCTCCAATCATTTTCTTCTAGAGACTCACTGCCTTATTTGACCTTGTCCATTATATGCAAGTGAAGGCAGACATCTCTACAGTCGATATCTTCAACACTCAACAACTCACACCAAAACAATCTGAACTGATATTGAAAGGAAAATGCTCAACTTCAGCAAACACTGAAATGAAGAAACTCGGAGAACCACGGAGAAAAGTTACAGCCAACGGGGTTACTATAATCTCAGAACTTAAGCATACAACAGTATACTAGTCTACACAACAAAACAGATGGAAACAGCCCTGAACAATCACCCTTCAAGTACTTTTATACTGGGCGTCTACTCGTTCATGTGCATGTGTGTGTGTGTATGTGTGTGTGTGTGTGTGTGTGTGTGTGTGTGTGTGTGTACACGCTTGGGTCGTATTTTCTGGGAATCCAAAGTTCTCCTGGTTTCCTACTTATTCCTAGAGCTGGATTTCGTGTGTCAGTGTTTTCTATCTTCTTTGTCTTTCTGGCAAAAACAACCGTTTCTATTGCGAAACTTGGCACATCCGTCCCAACGGTCAGGTCACCTTAACCCAGAATGTTCTCCCTCATTTAACTTCCCAAGGCTTGACTTACGCACAAAGTACTCAGATTATCAAAACACATAGCACCACAAGAGAAAAAAAAATATATTTTTGATTTTGGGGTGAACTGTCCCTTCAAATTTACATCGACTTACTTTAATATACCTCTGTGATATTATCTTTGATGTGTAAAAGTGCTTAAAAATGTTTGACAGTGAAAGTTGCTGTTTACTTTGAAGCTCTTTGATTGAATTGATGAATACAAAGACACACAAAACACATTTAACCAGTTTATTGTTGTTTTACAGATGAAAGCTTATAGTTGTAAACTGTAACAAAATAGAGGAAATACTGACATCATTCCTTTCAGGGCATTTTTATCAACATAAATAGAAAATAAGGTATTGCACTTTTCATCTGTCCCATAAACATCACCCTGATTCAACGGAGGTAAAACTGAGGTAGGTATGAATCCATTTACTGGGTCATCTTAGCGAAGGACTTCCACAGAGCATTCAGCTGCTTCTTCAGGATCCGGGCATCAGCGTCCAACTTGGACCTCAGCTCCTCTCCATACGGAGCCAGGTTCTGCTGGAGCTCCTGGGTTTTCTGGGTCAGCTGGGTCTGGAAGCTCTCAGCCAGGGGGATCATGCTCCTCTGAAACTCATCCATGCTCTGCTCGATCTTCTCCTTTATCTCCTCAGTGTAGGGGACCATCTGGGCCTGCAGCTCGGTCATGCTCTTGTCCAGCTTGACCCTCAGCTCCTCGCTCTTCTGCAGCAGGACTCCCCTCAGGGCCTCGGGGTCCATGGTCTCAGCGTAAGGGGTGGCGTCCTTCTTCAGAACATCCATCTGCCTCTGGAGGTCAGCGACCAGCTCCTCAGCGTACGGCTGCAGGCTGGTTCCCACAGCTTTCAGATCCTTCTCCAGACGGGTCTTCAGCTGCTCGGCCTCCTCGGTAAACTTAGACATGAGGTCCTGGGTCAGAGGAGCCACCTGAGTACGGAGAGCTTCGGTGAGCTTGTTCACAGCGTCGGTGCTCTCAGAGATGAGGGTGCTGCAGAGACACAATAAGAAATAAGTGATGGAAAAACTCCAGTTTCATCTTTACTTATTTATTATTCTCTCCAAGCTGGGTTACTGCAAATTTGGTCAGGAATATCTAATGCTGTAGAGAAATATTTAAGAATTTACAGTTTTCAGGGACTTTATTTTTTCTTTAAGGCTTTAGTGAAAGCATCTTTATTATTTTGAGACTACTTACTTCACTTCCTTTCCCAGCTCGGACTGTCTGATCTGCTTCAGGGAGTCCTCAGCGGTTGCGGTTGCCTTGGCAACGTAGTCCCAGAAAGCATCTTTCACCATGTCGACCTGCTGCTTGGGCTGGGTTTGCCACATGATGTTGGCATTGCAACTAGCTGAGAGAACAAAAGCATTTATTTTTTTACATGTTACCACTGTATGCCTCTTGTTCCAACTTAAATGTTGATTTTAAACAAAATCACAAAACTTTCTTACCACTAAAAACAGCGAGGACGAGCACCACGAGGACCTTCATGACTGCAGCTGAAAAGAAACATGCAAAATTTGCTTTTTGTGGTTATTCTTCATATGAGAACCTGAAAAGTGACGTGCTGGTACCGATGTCTCACCTGTGTGGATGAGCCTTCAGCTGTTGAACGGAGTGTTCAGCTCATGGTTCTGTATATATAGGCAGCTGAGCTGTATAGAGGAAGCACCAGAGTAAAGTCCAACACTGAGTGCCATGTTGTCAATGCTGCTTCCACATCACAGAAACAGTGGTAACAGTTGGTCAGCTACGACATCACCACTGTCTGATAAGATCATGTGTAGGTTAAATGTCATTGTATACCTGTCAGACACATTTCAAGGCAAGAAACATTTGTTTTGTATTTAGCAACTGATGTGAAGTCTTTATGTGTATTTCTGGGTCTATTATCAGAAAAAATAACTGTCAGCTTTAAGCAAAAGTTAAGTATACAGTTATATACCTTAAGTTTTATGCCCTAGCTTTGAGAGAAAGTATCATTTCCTTTGTTTTAGATGACAAATACCCTGTTATTGGAGACAGGAGCCAAACAGGAAACTCAAATTTACAATCAGTAATTTTATTATTATTAATAAAAAAAATAATAACTGACAATTACCATAATGATATTAGCCAATAATATTAGTTTTGTGAGACTACTCAAGCTAAATGCTACTGAAAAGTGAAAAATGTTTACAAAGTTCACCAGTTTTAGTTTAGCTTGTTAGCATCAGGTTAGCATGTTATCATGTTCACAACAAACAATGCTGTTAGGTTAGCGTGCTATCATGTTTACAACAACAATGCTAACATGCTGATGTTTAGCAGGTATATAATGTTCACCAAGTTCACCAGTTTTAGTTTAGCTTGTTAGCATCAGGTTAGCATGCTATCATGCATCACCATGTTCAAAGTAACAATGCTAACATGCTGATGTTTAGCAGGTATATAATGTTCACCAAGTTCACCAGTTGTAGTTTAGCATGTTAGCATCAGGTTAGCATGCTATTATGTTCACGACAACAATGCTAGCATGCTGATGTTTAGCAGGTATATAATGTTTACCAAGTTCATAATGTTTTGTTAAGTTTGTTAGCGTCAGGTCAACATTTGATCATGTTCACAACAACAATGCTAACATGCTGATGTTTAGCAGGTATACAGTGTTTACCAACTTCACCAGTTTAAGTTAAGCTTGTTAGCATCAGATTAGCATGCTACCATGTTCACTTAAAACAATACTAATGCTAATGTTTACCAAGTTCACCAATTTTTGTTAAGCTCAGGTCAACATGCTATCATGTTCACAACAACAATGCTAACATGCTGATGTTTAGTAGGTATATAATGTTGACCAAGTTCAGCAGTTATAGTTTAGTATGTTGTTATTAGGTTAACATACTTACATGTTCACAACAACAATGCTAACATGCTGATGTTTAGCAGGTATATAATGTTTACCAAGTTCACCAGTTTTAGTTAAGCTTGTTAGCATCAGGTTAGCATGCTATCATGCATCACCATGTTCAAAGTAACAATGCTAACATGCTGATTTTAGCAGGTAATGTTTACGAAGTACAGCAGTTTTAGTTAATTATGTTAGAATGCTAATATTTGCTAATTAGTGCTCAACACAAAGTACAGCTGAGGCTGATGGGAATGACATTAGCTTAGCAGGTGTTTGATTATAAATCAAAGTCTGGGGGAAAATGAAAATATGACCTGATTATAGTATTTAAGAAAAAGCCAGAGCATCACTAAAAACAGTAGGATTCATCCCCTGGGAAACATAAACGTCTGGACAAAATTTCAAGGCAACACCTCACATAGCAGTTGAGATATTTCAGTCTGAACCAAAGAGGTGAACCAACTGACAGGCACTGTTATCCAGAGCCACGCTGTTATGGCTAAAAAGTACAAAATACATGTAGTTTATAGGAATGTAAGATTACAGTTCTATTATATTTAATTGTATTTAACACTCATGAGACTTGAATTTGGGTCACTCATGTGTAAGATGACATGTGTCATATGTAACATCCATAAACACACTCAGGAGTAAGAAATGTCAACAGATAAGATAATGAGGTTATTACTGTTTCACTCTGTTGGGTCATGCGGTACAAATACTGCACTGTTTCTGTTGATTACTTCAGTGTAACTTAAAAAGCACAGAGTCAACATACATATTGATCCAATTGAATGTCCTCCACTTCTAGACAAACTTCTCAGGTTTTATAGGTCAGTGAAATGTAAGCAGGACTTTGATCAATTGGTGTCATCTGACCTGCAGATTATCTTTACTGAGGAATGTTATGTTTCCTTATACAGCCATTCCCTAAGATAAGATAGAGGAGCTAGATTCTTCCTCATGTAGCTGTTTTCATTTAACACATAAAGCCCATTATAATTGGATAAACTTAAAAATGTCCCACTCTGGAGAAAAAGTGGCAAATAACTACATACATACATACATACATACATACATAATTTTCATGGAAGAAATTCACAACATTTATTTAAATTTTCTCACGAGACTGTAGCTTTGGAACTATAATGTTGCAGCTTTACAGCAGAAGGCACAATTTCCCTCAGGGGTTGGGGCAGAAAATGAATTTTACAGTTTTAATTCTAACCCACAAATCAAATGCACACTGACATCAACCAAACAATCTTTTAAAAAATGAACTGAATAGAAATAAACTGATAAGGAAGTCACCAATCCATTCTGCACTGAACAGAGAGACACAGCTGATCTAATATGTTGTCACAACATCAACATTTCTGTGTTTCCTCTCTAACTGATCATACTAATATAATTTTCCTTAATTCATTTTTATATTAACAGAGGGTCAAATGACTACGTGTAATGGTATGGGTCACTTGTAGTGATTAACCCAAAGAGAATTACAGTCTATTTAGTCCCTTTCAGGTCTTTGTTTTGGTTTTATCATTTCATTGTCACCTCTTACAATGACGCTCTCTATTTGAACTAAGAAGTCAGAATTTCCATGTTCCTTGTCAGAAATTTAAACTGAAATGTACCCTGGAGTTGGATTTCCAACTTGGAAGTCGTAAGAACCTCACCAACCTCCACCTTAAAATCCAAGATGGCAGCTTCGCGCATCAAGAGCCCAGACTGTATAAAATAATGGACATAGTAACTGTGATGTCACCCATTGGTTTGTGAACTATTGTCTTTAAGTCTTGAGTTTGGCATTTTGGCCCTCACCATCTTGGATTTTTGGAGCCAGAGGTGACCATATTGGATGAGAGGGTGGAGCTAACCCTAGCAGTATCTGCTGGTTTGGTTTGCACTACATATTTACAGCCAGGTAAGTGTACTTACCGGAAAAAATGATGATCCGACTCCTTAGAGCAGTGATAATCAACCTACAATAGGGTGCTGGATGGCCCCCCAACAATTTTTCTATTTCACACTGAAATAAGTTGATTCATTGATTGATTGTATTGTATTTTCAAATATAAATACAGTGCCAGAGTGCATAAAAAAAGCAAAATAGAAGCTGTTTATCAAAAAAGTACCAGGACAGGATCTCCTGTCATCAATTCCTAGAAATGCCCCTGTGGACACCTGACCTGTGCGGGGCTGCTATTGAGTATCCCTGCCTTAGAGGGTCTTTTAGTACAACTAAAATGCTAAACAAGACTTTTTTAGGTTACCAAAATGTTATTAATAACTTTAGTGAACTGAAAACTCACTGAACAAGCTACAGCTACACCTGAGAATCTGGGGTTACATCATGGTTACGTTACCTAACCAGTGTTGTCGACGTGGTAGTGACATGTCACCAGATGGCACCCACCTGTCACAAAGTGGCCACACTCATAATTATTCACAACTTAATAACATTTAAATGGATGTGTAACACAAAAATTGGATCCCCCTGCAGTTGTCATGAACGGGGAAATGAAGTCCTAGAAACCAAATCTGTTTTTGTACCAGGCTGTAAAGATGTTTATTTCTGCTGTAAAGTTGTGCATTTTAACATGGGAGTCTATGGGGACTGACTCACTTGGAGCCAGTCTCAAGTGGCCATTAGAGGAACAGCAATTTCAATTTTTTTTTATACTTCCACACAGAGTTGTCAACTTGGTGACATTCTTCTAGATAAAGTGACCTGTCAGCAACTTGTAACAAATTAGGGACTCATTCAGACCATCAGTAATCGCAGTCCACAGCATTTGTGCCATCAGCCCAGGTTCTGTCCCTCTCTCTCCTCTTGCAGGAGGAGAGGAGAAGCCACTCGCCATGGGAGTTCAGTTGTAGTGAGTTTCTGTGGTAACACTGATATCCTTGCTCTCTGGATTGGAAGAGCAAGGTGTGAGTGCATATTTATGCTGTTCAAATGTTGAGGAGTTCTCTATTGAATTTAATTCAGTGATGTTGTTCCACATGATGACTTCACCAATGTGCAAATGAACATCTTACGTCATCTGGTGACCTTGTGCTGGCTACTTTCATTGATACAGAGATGGCAACACTGCTTCCATGTTGGCTTCAGTTTTCAGTCCAAAGGGTTGCCATTCATGAATGCTGTAGTAATACACCTTTTTTGTTAGGGTTAGGGTTCTGTCTTATTTGTGTCTCATTAAATCAGCTGTATAAAGAGTAGTGTTAAACTTCTATCTTGATAGGTGTTTGGATGAATAAAATAGTGCGCAATGTCAAATGGTATTGTGAGCAATGGTATTGTTATTTGGACTTGTTCAGCTGGGGTGTGACGTCATTCCCAGCTCCATCTTCTAATTTCTGAGGTTAATGGAACGCAGCATAAGCTCTAAAAGCCCTCTGTACACTACCTGCGCAGCGCCAAGACAGACAGATTAATTCAGTGATAAGATGATGAACATAGTGAAGTGTAAAGAGCCAGATATTTCCCTCAGGAGTTGGTGAAAACAAAAACAGAGCTGAAAAAGAGCGACTATTGGACTCAAAATCATCACGTGGACATAACATGACTCCAAATGAATCATAATTTTGCTCCATAACGGCTGGATGTGTAAATAAGCAACTTTATAAGGTTATAAAGTGTCATTACGTTCACTCCTTGCACTGTTCCCAAGATGCCAACACCAATCAGCGCAGCTTTAAGTTAAATTTTCCATACATTATTTGTATCTTTACATTAAAGCTATTGCACTGATTAGCCTTTTGCCCACTCCCTTCTGTTTAACTGCTGCACATGTTGCTGATTTAGTGGTACCAAACCATAACTCAACCCATTCAGATGCCAGAGACTATGTATCAAAGGACAACTGAGGCAGTGGCACTTGAATTATGACGTGGAGTGACAGTAGTGACAAGAATTTGTCCAGCAGGGCAACCAGAGAAGGACTTTACCCTACTATAATACTATAAAAGTGTTGATCGGGCGTTTGCAAAAACACCAGTCATCAGACTCAGAGCGGAGAAGAGACAAGCTGCCTGTGTAAGGTAACATATATTATTATTAACTTAACACTTCTTGACTAATTTCAGTGTTAGATTATATTTTTACACGTTATTTTCTTGATCCAACAGAGTCAAATTCAATCATGAAGGTACTTGTGGTTCTCGCACTTTTCTCCGGTGAGTTATATTTTTCTCTTTGAAACAAATGTCAGCCACAGCTGGGTGAATACATGGCTGGGTTTTACTTAATCTGTTGTTTTGTCCACAGTTTGCAATGCCAACATCCTGTGGCAGGAGCCAGCCAAGACCAATCTGGAAATGGTGAAAGATGCTTTCTGGGACTATGTTGCTAAAGTGACAGTCACCGCTGAGGACTCCCTGAGTCAGATCAGACAGTCTGAGCTGGGACAGCAAGTGAAGTAAGAGCGATAAAGACGCTTGATGACATTAGAAATATTCTACAAGTTTCAGTTAAATAACTGTTTTTCTTTTCTGTGTCCGTCAGTGCCAGGATCACTGAGAGCACTGACCAAGTCAACAAGTACGTCGCTACTCTGCAGGCTCAGTTGACTCCTCTGACCCAGGACTTCATCACTAGGGTTACCCAGGAGGCTGAGCAGCTGAAGACTCGTCTGGAGCAGGATCTGACCACTGTGAGCACTAACGCTGAGGAAATAGTGGCGCAGATCCAGAAGCAGGTGGAGGAGCTGAAGAAGGAGGCCACCTCTTACGCTGAGTCCATGGACCCCGAGGCTGTGAAGGCCGTCCTGCTGCAGAAGAGCCAGGAGCTGAAGGAACAGCTGGATCAGAAAGCCACCGAGCTGCAGGCCCAGATGGTCCCCTACACCGACGACTTGAGGCAGAAGGTGGAGAAGAGCATGGAGGAGTTTCAGAAGACCATCATCCCCCTGACCCAGAGCTTTGAGGCCCAGCTGGCCCAGAAAACCCAGGAGGTCCAGCAGAACCTGGCTCAAACAGGAGAGGAGCTGAAGGCCAAACTGGACGCCAGCACTCAGGACCTGCAGGCTCAGCTGGCCATTCTGTGGGAGTCTTTCACCTCCAAGACCCAGTAAACACGCCTCCTCCATCAGCCTCTGCACACCAAATATTTATTTCAATTTCACCCAGTGTATGCTTCACTAAATAAATGATTTAACAATCAAGTTCAGTCTTTTGTGTTTTAATTAGCATGCAAGATGTGCACGACAAGATTGATACCGAGAACATTTTTACACGATGACTGTTCAATAAAAGGTTAGTTTTTAGAGCTGCACTAAAATAAATTACAGTCACAATATCGTGACTCATCTCATGACCCAGTCCATGAAATCACTTTATGCAAGAGGACTCTAACGCAGTGCACATACACATTGTTTTGACATAGTGCTGTCACAGTGTTACATAAACATGCATTTTTTGGATTATTATCATGTCTGTACATCGCACACCTATTCTCCATACTTTGTACTATGGGCTTTTGCACATTCCTGCACAAAACTGTGTAGTTTTGCATTTTAAAACAGCAATATTGTTCATATTGTCATAGTATATTTTCATTGTAACAGTTTCTATTTTATATTTATATTTCTGATTCATTGCCGAGCAGAGACTTTAAACTATAGCTTAAAAGCTTGTTACATCCAGCATTTAAGAATTAAAGTAAACTATCTTCCCATATATTGAAACACAATCTTTACTGCATGTAAAACAGTGAAAAAAGATAAGTTTTTATATAGCACGTTTTTTTGTTCAGTGGGAATCCTGTTATTACCAGGTTAAAGAATGCACTAATACCTGCTCAAATCATTCCGCTTAATCAATCCTCTATTTCCATACTCTATTGAATGCATGTAGGGACCCATAATTCTTTTAAAAAAGCTCTTATTTAGTTTACTCGGTTTTAGTTTATACAAATTTTCTCCAAGGGTGCAACAGCCTTTTTGCCGACCAAATATTAAACAATCTTTAGTATTTTTTAATTTTTTTATGCGGTGACAGCGATAGCCCGAAGCATTATGTTTTTGGGTAGTCCATCTGTCTGTTGTATTCTCATGAACACAATATTTCAGGAATGCCTTGAGGTAATTTGTTGAGATTTAAACATTCACTTGGACTCAATGTTGAACTTACTAGATTTTGGTGGTCATAGATCAAGGTCACTGTGACCACAACCTAACATACTTTTGGCCATAACTCGAGAATTCATGTGCTAATTATGACAAAACTTCACACAAATGTTTAATAGGATAAAATGATAAAATGTTGATGTTGTATATCCAAAAGGTCAAAGGTCAACTTCACTGTGACATCATAACGTTCTGCAAAAACTCTTTTCTGAGCACTCCTTCTGAAATTCATCCAAACTCACACAAAAAAACAATCAAAGACATGCAGGGTTTTTTGTAAGAAATGGTATTTATCAGTCTCCAAGAGGTATATACAGGTCATATATATACTGTTCCAAATGTATGTAACATAAAAAAGGCAACAAAACAGGTGATGACAGTAAACATGACATGCAGTACAGTACACTCCCTCCTGACAGCTGGTAAACGTGTCTGTAACCAGTAAATCACTTCTAACAAGCAAACAATGATTTCATTCAACGTACGCCAAAGAGCTTTTCAGTAAAAAAAAAAAAAAAAAGAAGAAAATTCAAGATTGGAGCGACAGGCACTGAACTCAGTGACAAAAACAAAGAGCTCTGTAATTCAGTAATGTCTCCTTATGTGTTATGTATGTCTACTGGTTTGTGTCGGGAGTCCACAGTCAACACAGTCCTGACCAGTCACATTATTTGTTTCACTTCTGATCATTCAGGCGATTAATCTGACAGGATTAAATGCATTAGATTTATGTTATTACATTTTATTCACCACATCTGATGAAACCAATAACATGATGATGGCTGCGCGGATCGACAGGTCGAAGTGATGGGACACACAGTGTTGTACATGGCATAGTCTGCTTGTTCCATAGTGAGTCTGTCCGTTCTGTGAACTCGGTCTGCGGGTCGATCGCCCGCCGCTCAGTCAAGTCTAACCGATGGTGACGCCAAACCCACACTGGAACTTGTTCTTGCGATGGTTGAGGAAGGTGCAGAGGACCAGAGAGAGCGGCAGCGGGAGCAGCTTCTTTTCTAACGTTGCACCGACTATCCAGTTACTGTCTACTGAACCTGGAGGAAGAGCAGCAGACAGAATATTAGATTTCATAAAAGACTGACAAAACTCTCTGCAGATATGTGTGCCTTTGTAATGTCCTGTTTCATTTGTTTAAAAAATGTATTCTCAATAAACAGTGAAATAAACATCTATAAAGACAGGCCATACTTCTGTGATAATATGAAAACTCTCTCTGAGGATTTTCTTGTTAATCTATCAATTTCTAATCAATTCAAAAATAAATTGGAAAAAAACAAAAACAAAAACCCAAAACAATTTAACATCCATCAACTCTACAATTTAAGAGGTTTCTGATTTTTCTCTGGTTAAAAAGAGAAGGAGTGTGTACACATCGTACCTTTAAACAGTAAATTGGCTTTAGGCACATCTAGCTGGTAGCCGAACGACACACTGGTGTCCTGCATGCGGGTGCTCGCCTCAAACTCCACGCCGAGCTGCAACTGTTGAAGAGCGGCAGAGAGTTATATCCCGATGAATGCAGATTTATGAAACATGCAAAACCACACCCGGAACAGAGCGCGTTCACTCACTTCTTTAATATAATTATCAAATACGGAGGCTTTACTGACTACTCACCTGACCTGCTCTTCCAATTAAAAGACAAACAAAAGCTACAAACTGTTTATACTGGATTTTAACCAAGGCTGACAAACAATTAAAAAGGTTACCTGGTCATTGGCTTTGTGATAGTATGAAGCATGAGCCCCCGCGGAGCCGAGTGTCAGTGTGGCAATGTAGTTACTGCCTGTACAGAGGGACTTCAAGTCAATAATAGTTTGACCAAATAAAAAAAATGGACTCATTAAAGGGGAACATAAATAAATAAATAAAATAAATAATAAAGAATTCTAATATGTTATTTCCATGGCCAAAGAAAGTTCAATCAATATAAGTGAACATGAGGTACTCTCTCTCAAAGCCAGAAACCAGAGAAGTAATATGGAATTTATACTTCTGCATTGAATCGACATCGTAGCTACGGCCTAGGCTACATGTCGATGCAGAGCCTACGGTGTAGCCTGACGTGTACCTCCCTAGAAATGTGACTACATGTCACGGCAACTCAGACCTCCTGTCTATTTTTATGAGCTGAAACCATTTCCCTCAATGCAAAATGCCATAGGCTTGTGCTAATAACGTTAGCATGTTATATTTGTTTGGAAACGTGTTTAGTATAATACACCTGTTTTGTCAGTGAACTTTATGAGTTGCAATGGAGCCAAACTGTGTGCCGTTACCTTTGTTAAATGTTGCTGTTGTCCCTGGTTTTATATGAGAAGAGGAAAAGATTGTGAGCTGCTAGGCTAATCTATACAATGTAAAATGCCATAGGCTTGTGCTAATAACATTAGCATGTTGTATTTGTGGGGAAATGTAAAGACAAGTGTTTGTCTGTGAATGTTGCGAGTTATAGTGAAGCTGATTTGTGTACTTGTGTTTGAAATTGTCTCTATTAAGCCATGTTTAATGTGTGTTTAATGTGTGTTTTGGGTGTGTTTTGGGTGTGTTTTGAATCAACTAAACTTTACAGCACTTCACAGAACTCACTCAGAGGATTCCCCTGGCTGCTCTCAGTGTCATCTATAACATCTTTCTGATTCACTGTCAATAAAGCAGCTCCTGACTCTGTGATGACATCACCAATCTGAGCTGTAGCACTTAAGTTTGTGGACTTGGGAGAGAGTTGTTCGTTTGTATTAATATTTTTGTCTCAGACCATAAGGATAACATGTTTGAATTTTGAAAATGGACACAGTTTCCCTTAAAGTCCAAGTACATTGGATCCAACCTGCTCATAATAACCTGAGTCTCACCTGTGTATCTTCCGACTAAAGACATCACTGTGCCTTCCTCTCCTGGCCTGCGGTGGTAAACCAGCTCCCCCCCCAGAGCCAGAGTCGGCGTTATGGACTGGAGGTAGTGTGTTACAACAATACCTGACAGGCGGACAAGAGGTGTTCAGGTTCAGAACAAATCCTTATGTCGGTTAAATTACATTCAGAACATTAAAAACGATCCGATAACATTTAAGGACATAAAGTAACTTCAGTCTTCAGATGACAAAATGTTGACTGAAGACCTACCAGAGCCGACAATGACATCTGGGTTTCCAAGGGTGACTGTTGCAGTGAAATCTTCTCCCTTGAACTCAGCATCGCCTTGCCAGTTCATGAACTTGTGTTGTTGTGTCTGAGGACATCACAGATTTTGACAAAGTTAACATAATGATCTGTATAGTGGATTTTTAAGGGTGACACTAATATCTTTACCTGAGACTTCAACAAATCTGACACTGACACATCAGCTGGTTCCCATTTTTTTATACACAATCATTTCTGCTTATAATCCTTTTAATTGGGTTATTTCCAAATGTAACCAAGACAGATAATGAGAGAGACATTTTACACTGTAAAAATAAAGTTCACAGTGGCCTCTGGTGGACAAAATTTGTAATGATGCAACTGCTTCTAAATTTGGTTAAATATCTTTGGCATTTTTGTAATGTGATTTCTTGTCACTTACTTGCCAAGACATGCACTGATATCGGCAATAAACTAAAACCAGGCCGGCAGATTTATTGGTCTAGTTCCAGTTAATATTATACACAGTAAGAGAAATCAAGAGAAATTAAATAAGCACATTATAGTTCTAATGGTACTAAAAGGTCCAACAGAAGGAAAATAATGTTTGAGATTTACCTGGAAGGCCAGTTTGGATCGTATTCTGCTGGAGATCTGATGGATGACCTGGGCGTTAAGGCTCCCACTGTTGTCCATGTCCCCCACCATAACTGGAAAAAACTGAACACAAAGAACATTTGTTTAACAGTCTGTATGTAAAGAACACAGAAATGTCTCACAGATGGGATTCACAGTGACTTTACTGCAGCGTACCTCTGCTGGACCTGTCTGCTTTGTTCCAACATATGTAGCACCAAACCTGTAGGTGGAATCTCCCATGGTGCTCAGCAGCACTGT